TAACAAGCTCCATTGAATCTCATCCTAGCAAATCTGTGCAGGCAGTTCTCATATCCTTCTTGGGCAAGATTTACAAAGAGGCAGAAGTAAGATTTGAAATGAAAACAGAGGGAAATTTGGATTAAGTTATTCCCAAGAATCCCACTTCATATTGTGAGGCATGTTTGTATCATTAGTCTGTATTCTTATTTTTATTTTTCTGATTTTTAACTACTTCAAGGGTAATGTTATCTTCTTTTTTTCCAGACAATAAAATAGCAGTAATGGTTTCTTGTTAGCTTTCAATTGCAATAAATGTATCTTCCCTAATTAAGCATGAATTTAGGTTGCCACTCCATAAACTTAAAAAATCCCTGTGGTGTAGATTTGTGCAACTGGCACTATCAGCTAGGGGTGTATTTAAATGAGCCGAGACGGATCGAACTCGAACTTTTTGACGAGTCTCATTCTAAGTTGTTTGTGAGCTCGTGAGCCGGTTCACGAGTTTTTTTTATTTTTAATTTAAATATAATATTAAATAATAAATTCATATACATAATTAAAAAATAAATTATAGGTTAATTTTTTTATTTCGAAGGTTTTATTATAATTTTTAATAATAAATTCTAATAATGTCAATAAAAAAATTTAAAAAATACACAAAATGGGCTCAGGCTCAAGCTCGAACTCGAGCTCATCAAAATAGATTCGAACTTGAGCTCGCCAAAACAACCAAATTCAGCTCGTTTTACACCCCTACTATCAGCTATATGTGTTGCAAGTTAATTGTGGATGGTGCAACTTGCAAGTTGTCTGTTCCCACGTCATTTAATTCGGACTTGAAAAAGTTGCTACCTTAGGTGGTGTTTGTGAATGCTTTTTGAAAGTGATTATGAGCTTTTTTTTGTTTATAATCTGTTTTCGGGTGTTTGTAAAATTAACTTTTGTTTTTGCTCCTCTTAAAATAATATGCTTTTAGCTATTTTTTTAAAAGCATCCCTAACCCTGCTTTTTCAAGTTTAGTTCATTTTCCGGAATATTTGCAAACACCCTCAACTTTAAGAAATAAACACTTAAAACTAACTTAAATCACAATCACTAACTTCTGCTTTTTAAATAATCATTTGAAAACACCACCTTAGCCCTGTCTATATCTTTGTCGAAAACACACATATATATATATATATTTTGCTGAATCAAATAGAAATAAATACCTCCTGAAAAAAAATATATAGAAACAAGTATGTCTTATTATTAGGTACCAATTTTTCAAGAATATTATATGTTATTATCACGTGTTACACCTTTTATGCACATTAAATATTAGCCAACCTAATTAGAAATTTCTGTTTTGGGGTCCAAAGTTTAATTTAAATTTTTAATTTTGTAGTGCGCGGTTTTCACCTACTCTTTTTGTTTGTTGCCTGTTACTATTAGGGTCCATTCCACCACAATCCAAATAGGGTAAATTACAAATACCCCCCTGAGGTATGGTCAAATTACAAAAACACCCCTTTTGTTTGGATAATTACAACCACCCCCCTCAACTATGATTTTTTTCTTACACCTCCACCCCTATTGTGCCAAATTCAAGATAATCATCTAGATTCTATGAAATGTGCTCTAGTTTGTACTCATTTTGTGTAAAAATACAGTTTTCGATGCACCACAAACTGATATATACAAGTTAAAAATCACATATTCTGATCATCTTGTTTTATAATGTAGATTTTGAATGAGATAAAATAGGTACAAAAGTGATAATATTCCATATAATCTCGAAGATTCCACTAAATTTGAGGAGTTGAGGGGGTGGTTGTAATTATCCAAACATGAGGGGTATATTTGTAATTTGACCATACCTCAGAGGGGTGTATGTAATTTACCCATCCAAATATTAATAATATTATTAGCTAACCAAAAACAAAATATGGATAAAGTAGCAGGTAGGATCATCTTTTTTTTTTTTTTTTAAATATTAATTGAATACCTTTTTTCTTAAATACAGAGTTATCACTCTTTATATATTTCATTTCATTATCCAAAAATATTACTTTCTCTCATTCTCCAAAAAATAAACGATACAAAAGATGAATTAAATATAGCTTAACACCTCATTAACATTCTTAATTAAAATTAATTAGGAGTCGAAGACAAAAATTAGGCGCCACCTGCGAATATTAAGAGCCACCTTCATTACATTATAATAATAATATATAAATAAACAATAATCAATTTTTATAACAAGACAAAGTAGCAACATACCGTCAAAATTCAAGCCATCACGTAATTATTTTTTTATTTTTTTAATTAATTTATTTAATTAAATTTCAAGTAGGACTTGGTCGTGTCAATGAACATATCCATTATCATAATTTCTTTTTATTGTATAGTAAATCAGCCAAAATAGTGGTTGACTTATTTTTATGTATTATATAGTATAGTTTAACGACAATGATGCAAGTGATTACTTGATTTATCTAAAAAGATTAATTAATTGCAATATAATAAAAAGAATTTATCAAAATACATATATTGCTATATAATTAATCAGTCTTGACTGACTTAAATGTTATTATACTATAATTAAATTCTAAATTTGATAAAAAATGGAAAAGTCGTGGTACGCACATGAATAAGCAGCCCATTAATGCATATCCGTAAACCTTACGTGACTGGGTTAAATTAATTAATGGAAAAAATAACCATTGACTAAGTCAACCATAGACACTATCAAATCGTGGGTAATTTTAATTTTTAATTCATATTTATTTAATTAATTAATTCAATTTTCGATTTAAGGCAAAATGTGCGAGGATAGATATGCGATCTGTAATATAAGGAAATAATTCAAGAAAATAAAATAAAGTAATTTCCTTGTAATTTCTATAATATTTCTTATGTTATCCTCCAAATAATACATATTATATTTAGACCACTGGAGTTAAATCTCTATAAATTAATACAGTCGGTTTAGGAAAATTCTATTAATTTAGCGAATTATTGAATTATCGAGTTAATAATTTAACATGTTTTCACCGAATTGGGACCGAAAGAAACTATTATTTAATCGAGGCTATTAATTTATCGAGTATTAAATTAACGAGGTTCTACTGTAGTATCAAATGATAAAATTACCATTTTGATACTTCAAAACACAAAAACAATAATAGGTTAATAGAGTGGTTATATATCGTAAAATGACGAAAGTGCCCTTCAAGTGAACTGAGAAACAACAACCCCTGTGAAAAATGCAAGGGTGAGAATTTCATTTCTGAAATTTGTCAGGGAAAAGTGTGAAAATAGGAAATTTGTAAGGGGCTAAATGCATTTCATCCATTTTCCCAAGTAAATTACCATTGAAAACAAAATTCATACAATCTCAAATATGGAAAACATATAAATATTGGAAGGAGAAATAATTGTGGAGAGAGAGAAGAAGAGATCTTTAGTGACGATCATGTATATTTCTTAAGTAATTAAATATGGAGTAATACAGGAAAAAAATGAATAATATGGAAATTAGTTTTAATTTCCTTTAGTTAAGAAAAATAAAATAAATAAATAAATAATAAAAAGTCAATGAGTCTAAAAAAATACGCGCAGTTTGCAATTGAAAAGGAAGGAAAGAGCATAGAAAAGTCTGCATGCTTTCCCTTTTCAACTATAATTTCCCCCCTTTCTCTCTCTTCTCTCTCTCTCTCTAACTTATGATTTATGAAAGAGAAGACAGAAACCGATTCTTAACACCCTCAAAATTAAGTTCCATTTTCATGGGGTTTTGATATTTATCCATTTCTATTCACATTCTCCCCATCTTCGATTCATCTGCTGTTTTTCATTTTGATTAATTTTTATTTCCGATTTCCAATTCACTGCAATTTCATGTTTCCGGCGGATCGGAGGTTTTTTCTCCTTTACTCCGAGATTCGCCTTTTATGATCTCTTTCTAAACCTAATTTCTTCTGTATTCATTTTTTATTTAATTTTTCCCCAAAGTTTCAGTTTTTTTTTCAATTAGATATTCTTTCCACGATTGACCCTACCAATCAAAGCTTTCTCCCAATGCAGTAACCCCCTTTCGATTTTTTGTAACAACTAACGAACGCCCTTTATTGATCACAGTTTTCCCCACCCGTTATTATTTTTTTCTGTGGTGTAAAATCTTTGTCGATTGTTCAAAGACTGTGATCATTGTATTTATGAGGTAAGCAGAGCATTTCTAACTGGTAGCAGTTTTGCAGTAGAGATGCAGCTTTTAGTCCGGGTAATCGAAGCGAAAAACATACCGGCTCTTGACCCGAATGGGTTTAGTGATCCATATGTAAAACTGCAGTTGGGGAAGCAGAGGTACAAGAGCAAAGTTGTGAAGAAGTGCCTGAATCCATCGTGGTGTGAGGAATTCATTTTCAAAGTCGACGATTTGAAAGACGAGCTTCTGATTTGTGTTTTAGATGAAGACAAGTACTTCAATGATGATTTTGTTGGCCAGATCAAAGTGCCGGTCAGTCAGGTTTTCGAAGCTAAAGACAAGTCACTCGGCACTACTTGGTACACGTTGCAGCCGAAAACAAAAAAGGCCAAGAACAAAGATTGTGGTATACTATTCTTCTTTTTGGAGATTTTGTCGATTATTTATGCCTGTCATTTTCTTCCTTTGGGATGTCTAATTTTTGGAATTTGATTTGTTGTTTCTTCACTCTGATTTTCGGAATATGCAATGATCCTAGTATTGATAATTCTTATGATTGCTGAGTTCTTGATTTGGTTATTTTTTGGATTGACTGATGCTTTATTCAACAACAGGCGAAATTCTTCTAACAATTTGTTTCTCGACAAATAACACATTGTTCGACTTTCCATCCTCGGGCGATCCTGTAGTACTGCCAAGAAAGTACGCCGATTCGATTTTGGACTCACCCACAAGGTCTTCCCCTCGAAGGACATCTTCTCCTATGAGGGGAGAAGACTTTTTCACTTCCAAGGAAGAAAAACAGCCAGCACCGACATTTGCTGGTCGGTTCGCCCAAATTTTCAACAAGAATGTTGTCGATTCAGCTTCTGTGACTTCCACCGAAGCTACCGATCAATCGGACTTGCCCGAAACTTTGGATTCATTCCTTGATAACAAGTCAGAAGAGCAAACTTCGTCAGTCGATTTCGAAGAATTAATGAAAAATATTACGACGAAAGACCAAGGAAGCGAAGTTCCTAGTACTTTAACCGGAGGGGTAGTTCTGGACCAAATTTACGCAACCACCCCTCAAGAATTGAACTCACTACTCTTTTCTGATGCAAACTTTCAGAAATCTGTAGCAGATGTACAGGGCTCTACAGATTTGCAAATCGGTCCCTGGAAATATGAAAACGGCAGCGAGAGCGTACAGAGAGTGGTTTCCTACACTAAAGCTCCGAGTAAACTGATTAAAGCTTTGAAAGCAACGGAGGAGCAAGCGTTTATAAAAGCCGATGGTAAAGTATTTGCCGTTTTATCCAGTGTGAGCACACCGGACGCACCATACGGTAAAACTTTCAAGGCCGAAGTGCTTTACTGCATTACTCAAGGGCCCGAACAGCCATCCGGCGAACAGTCTTCTCGGTTGGAAGTTTCTTGGCGGATGAACTTTCTGCAGAGCACTATGATGAAGAGTATGATAGAAGGTGGGGCGAGGCAGGGTATAAAGGAAAGCTTTGAGCAGTACGGGAAGGTGCTGACTCAGCATGTGAAGCCGCTCGATCTAAAAAATATAGGCTCGGAGAAGGATCAGATGCTGGCTTCTCTGCAGGTGGAAAGGCAGTCCGATTGGAAACTGGCGGTTCAGTATTTTGCTAATTTTACTGTGGTTTCGACCGTTTTGATGGGGTTTTATGTGCTCGTGCATGTGTGGCTGGCTATGCCTAGTACGGTTCAAGGCCTTGAGTTTGTCGGTTTGGATTTGCCTGATTCGATCGGTGAACTGATTGTCTGTGGAATGTTGGTTTTGCAAGGGAAAAGGGTGCTCGAGTTGATGTCTCGTTTTATGCAGGCCCGAGTGCAAAAAGGTATTCTTTATTTTTTTGCTTAGAAAAGGTGTGATCTTTACCTTATTTTGATAACATGGTAACTGGACTGTTTATCCTAGCATATAGAACTAATTTAATTTGCTTCTGTTTTGTTAATTATTAGGGAGTGATCATGGAATCAAAGCACAGGGAGATGGGTGGTTGCTCACGGTTGCATTAATTGAAGGGAGCAATTTGGCGGCAGTTGACTCGAGTGGGTTCTCTGATCCTTATGTGGTGTTTACTTGCAACGGAAAAACGAGAAGCAGCTCCATCAAGTTTCAGAAATCGGACCCTCTTTGGAACGGTATATATATATATATATATATATATATACACTATCAGTTTTTTTCTTTCGGTAGTATCTAATAGGCATTAATTGTTGTTTTGCAGAAATTTTTGAATTTGATGCAATGGACGAGCCTCCATCTGTGCTGGATGTGGAAGTTTTCGATTTTGACGGCCCTTTTGACGAAGCGACTTCTCTTGGACGTGCTGAAATTAATTTCTTGAAATATAACATTTCCGATTTGTCGGATATTTGGATTCCTCTGCAAGGAAAGCTGGCTCAAGCGTGCCAGTCTAAGTTACACTTAAGAATTTTCTTGAACAACAATAGGGGTACCAACGTCGTCCAAGATTATATAACTAAAATGGAGAAGGAGGTGGGCAAAAAGGTAAATAAATGATCACCTCTTCATCTCACTCTTTCACTTCATCATGGAACAATATTATACCTTTTTTTCCCTTCTACTTATGCATTACTTCACGTTGCAGATAAAATTACGTTCTCCTCAAACAAATTCAGCATTCCAAAAGCTTTTCGGGCTACCACCAGAGGAGTTTCTCATCAACGACTTTGCTTGTCACTTAAAACGAAGAATGCCTCTACAGGTAATTAGTTAGTTTGTTTTATTATTGCAATAATTTCTTTTAATTATATTGGTGACTGATATTACTGTACTTGTGACAGGGGCGTCTTTTTCTGTCAGCAAGAATAATAGGGTTCCACGCAGATTTATTCGGTCACAAGACGAAGTTTTTCTTTCTGTGGGAAGATATAGAAGACATTCAGATTATACCTCCGACTCTGTCATCAATGGGCAGTCCAATCGTTATCGTGACACTAAGGCAAGGTAGAGGGTTCGATGCACGCCATGGAGCAAGAACACAAGATACTGAAGGCAGGCTTAAATATCATTTTCATTCTTTCGTCTCGTTCAATGTTGCTCACAGGTAAACTTCACTTATGAGTTAAATTGTGTTATATAATTTAATTGGATTTTGGCAAATGATTTTTTTTTTTTTTGTGTGTGTGTATTATCAGAACAATTATGGCACTGTGGAAAGCCAGAGCTTTGACCCCAGAGCAGAAAGTACAAATCGTAGAAGAAGCAGCTGAAGCGACAACTGTACAAACAGCCGAAGAGGAATCACTTGCCAAAAATCTCCAAGCTTCGGAAGAGGAAATCGAGGCCAGAAGTCTTCATGGAGTCGACGAAGAATCCGAAACAAAAAGCCTTCTTTCTGTTGAGAGTGGCTCTTTTCTTGGAGTTGGGGATGTTAACATGTCTGTCGTCTATTCGTCCATGCTCTCTCTTCCTGTAAGTATCTTTCAAAATTTGATCCTTTTCACCCTAATTACTTCAAAAAAAATTATGATTTTTTAATTTTTTTTTTCAGACGAGCTTTTTTATGGAGTTGTTTAGGGGGAGTGAAATCGACCGAAGAGTGATGGAAAGAGCTGGGTGCTTGAATTATTCTCACAGCCCCTGGGAATCGGAAAAGCCCGATGTTTACCAGAGGCAACTTTATTACAAATTCGATAAGCATATATCTCGTTACAGAGGTGAAGTGACTAGCACTCAGCAAAAGTCTCGTCTTTCTGGAAGAAACGGTTGGCTTATTGAAGAAGTCATGACCCTCCATGGAGTTCCACTTGGCGACTATTTCACAGTACGTATGCATGCCACCTTATTTTTTTCTTCATTTTCTTTTTGTAATAAATATATATAGTTTGATCAAATATGTTGTTTTGCAGCTACATGTAAGGTATCAAGTGGAAGATTTACCGTCGAGATCGGTAGGGTGTAGTATTCAAGTGAACTTTGGAATTGCGTGGTTGAAATACACGAGGCAGCAAAAGAAAATGACGAAGAATATTGTGTTGAATCTGCAGGAGAGGGTTAAGGTCATGTTCAGTGTTTTGGAAAAGGAATATGTTTCTGGTGCTTAGATTTGATTGATTTTCGTCGGGTTTGGTGCGAAAAAGAACAAAAATAAAAGATGGAATAAATCTCGAACTCTGCCACGAAACAAAATAGGTTTTGTTGTTGTACAGTTGAATTGATATGGCTTGTGATTGTATATACACGGAGAAGAGAGTTTCGGTGCAATCGAGCCGTTGATTTTTTTTTTCGTCGGGGACTCGAAGGGGCGCAGTTGTGCTGCTGTTGGAGAAGGTTGTATATCACACATCACAGATTTGTTGTATGAAGTATGATTTTCATTAATTCTTCGAAAACTAATCGAAGCCGGAAAACCTTTAGCGCAATTAGTGATTCGAATGTTGTATTCTACAATGGCTTCAGTGTAACAGATTTTTTTTGACATGACATTGTTTCGGACATGAAATTGTATTACAAGATAATTTGGGAGTTGACTTTTTCAATTTTTTTCTTTTCTTTAATATCTTTTGATCCCGTTTAAACAACCATATTGATGTGGTTGACAGTGAAATTAACAATATTATAATTAAATACAGTAAAATTAACTACACTACAGTTTAATACAGTAATATTGCTATAATTAATTTCTAGCAGAGTAATATTAACACAACAAAAGTCATTATTATTGTGTAATAGAGTAATATTAATATGTTGACCCTTTAACAAAGGTAAACATAATAAAAAGTCCAAAAAAATAATATTAATGTGGTTGACAGTAATATTACCGGCAACCACAGTAATATTATTATGTTTACAGTAATATTACAATAATAGACAGTAATATTATTACAAATATTATTGTGTTTATAGTTCTTTTACAAAAAAAATAGGCAATACAATTACATAAACAAGCAATGGATTATTATCTGGGCCCAAGTTGATGGGCTTTATTGCAATTAATGAAGAGAACCTGCAGCCCAAAGAAGACACAGCACCTGATTACAACATAGGCCACTCTTCATGATTTATTACATGTTTTAAAGCCCGGCCCAATGTGTAATTCCCCCTTTACCCTCCTTCGTGCTCCCCCAGCTTTCCCCATCAGCTTTCTTCGTCTGTCGTCGATATACAAAATCCCACTCTCTGTTTCACGTTCAGTATTCAATTTCCAGAACCGTAATCGAAAATTTCCCCAATTTTTAGGGTTCATTGACATTCATTGTCAGAGGTAGGGCTGCATCTCACTTTCAACAACCTTTTTTTTTTCTTTTTTTCTGAGCAAATAGAGGAAAAATCGAGGGAAGATGTAATTACTGTAAATCGAACTAATCTAACTCTACTGATTTCCCGTTTCTTAATTTTTTTTTTCTGTCGCTGCTTCTCTATTATTTTGTCTCTTTTTCTTATTTTTTTTCTTTTTTTTTTATTCCCCGCTTGAGAGATGATTATTCTATCCTGATTTTACTTGCAAAGACAAATGTTTGCAGTTTGGTTTAGTGGGTAGTTTTAGTTGAGTACTTGCTACGCTGTGTTTTGCGAGCATCGGTGCTTTTATGTATTGACGATTTTGGATCTTCATTTTCTAGAACATAGTACCATCGAAGTTGTTGGGACATTGCAAAGGGAGCATTGAAACTTGAAAGGGAAGCAGGGAAATCTGTTTATCCCTAGATTTCTTATTGGTTGGAGCTACGGTGTTTACTTACGGGTGCTGTCGTGTTGTGTTCTGAATATCTGATTGGAGTTGCCAAAGGACTTTTGTATGAGAAAATCGAGATATAAACTATGTACGGAAGAGCAGGTCTCGATCGTTTCAAGAAAGCGCAGTCTTTGGAACCGTTCTCGGTCTCTGCAAACTCTACCACGAAACCAGGTCCACAAACCGCTTTTAGGGAAGCAGTTACACTTAATCAGTCTCAAGGATCTTACACACAGAACCATCAAAATGCGGTGAAAAAGACTGTAACCACAGATGTGGCCCCAACTCAGCATGTGACTCCGGTTGGAGGGGGACAGTCGACTTGGCAGCCTCCTGATTGGGCGATTGAGCCGCGGCCTGGTGTTTACTATCTCGATGTTGTAAAGGATGGGGAGGTTCTTGATCAGGTTAACCTGGATAAGAAGAGGCATATATTTGGTAGGCAGTTTCATGCTTGTGATTTTGTGCTCGATCATCAGTCTGTTTCGCGTCAGCATGCAGCAGTTGTTCCACACAAAGATGGCAGGTATGAGATACCATTACCGTTTTGCATGTTTTATTATGGAAACTTCTTTTCTTCTCCTTTCGCTGTATTAAGATGTGTATTTCATTACGGTATAAAGAGCAGTTAGTATAATCTGGCCTCCGTGTTCTGCCAAAAGTTAGTAGTGGATGCAAAATTGTTGATCTTAGATGTCAGACATGGTGTTTATTTCCTCGGTTGCTAAAGATTTTACCAATTGAACGATCAGATGAACTTTCTTTGTTACTCCCTCCGTCCCAATTTAAATGACGTTTTGGGTTGTTTCACACATATTAAGGAAATCAATAAATGTGTATAGATTATAGTAAAAAACATAGGAAAATACTAATATATCCTTGACATTAATTGTTTTACAACTTAACTAATTAGGAGTGATAAAGGGTAAAATTGAAAATAATGCAATTAATGATGCATTGAAAATCTAAAATGACAAATAATTTGGGACAAAAAAAACTCTCTAAAAAGACATATAATATGGGACAGAGGGAGTAGTATATAGGCAAAGTCGACTTCGATAAATTTAAATAGAATTGATGCCCTATCTGCTCACATTTTGATCATATGCTAAGGACTGATGGAGTTTACTGCATTTCTCTTACAGCGTGTATGTGATTGATTTAGGCTCAGCACATGGTACATTTGTTGCAAACGAGCGGCTGAGCAAAGATTCCCCTGTTGAGCTAGAAGTCGGACAGTCTCTGAAATTTGCTGCGTCGACCCGAATGTACGTTCTGAGGAAGAACAACGCAGCTCTTTTCCCTCCACCCCTAGAACCCACAGAGATTGAATTGCCACCTCCCCCAGATCCATCAGATGAAGAAGCAGTTTTGGCGTATAACACATACGTTAATCGTGCCTTGAATGGGTTGTTAATACCAAACTTAGTATCTAAATCGACAGGGTCGAGTAGTAGATCTTCGGTTATAAGTGACGACAGTCGGTTAACTGAGAGAGCATCTAAGAGAATGAGAAGAACTAGAGTGGCGTTTAAAGATCAGGTTGGGGGAGAATTAGTTGAAGTTGTAGGATTTTCCGATGGAGCTGACGTGGAGACGGAACCTGGTCCGACAGGTGTCAAAGAAGGAAGCCTTGTCGGGAAATACGAATCTCTCGTAAAGATTACAGTAATACCGAAAGGGAAGGAACACACCCCTATAAAGCAAACTTTTTCCACAGCAGGTGTGACGGAGAAACTTCAACAAGTCTTGAACAAGGTCAAGGCTCCTGCAAATAGTGGTGGAATATACGACGATCTGTATGGAGATTCATTTTCTGTTAAAGTAGGTTCGTCTTGGGCGCATATATCTGCTGAATCTGGCGGTAAAGAAGCTTCTCCAAGTAAAAGCGGAGGAAATACACACGGCGTTGAAAGTGAAAAGTCTCGAAGTTATAGGACGAGCAATGACGATGACAATGATGATGATCTATTTGGCTAGGCGGAATGATTTTGAAGTTATAACGACTCTCCTCAAGAAACGGGATATTTTTATCCATAGCAGGTATAAGTTCTTTTGTTGTACTTTATTATCTCTTCTTTTACATGTCATGCAATGAAGGTGTTAACGGTTTGTTTTAGTTGTAACTCATTCTTGTATTTTTAATGTATTTCCTCTGTTTGTGATATATTCTCTGCATGTAGTCCCAAAAGTCAAGTCCATGTTACACTTCTCAAAAGCCCATGATCGAGATTCCTTGAGGTCATAATGGTCTTTCACAGTGGTTTTGGTCGTAGATAATTTAGGGAAATGAAAATACTTGTTGGCATAGTACTTTCTTGAACTTATTGTCAAGATTGAGTTTCGGACTTACAAAATTTTCAAATTTAATTCCTCGTCTTTTCAGCTGGTGAAGAAGACCACAACATAAAATAATTTGTAATTGCTAACAGTCTATCATCTTATCCTTGCTACACGTAAAAAGCTCGAATCAGTCGTTAATTTTAAATTTTGCATTTGTATGTATATGCATTGAATTTACCTGTTGATTTAATTTGGCTCTTCAGTTTCTGTATTTCCTCTTAACCCTTTGTCTGCTACTCTCACCATTTACACCCCCGTTTGAGCACAAATACATCCTTCTGAGAAATCTCATAGCCGAACCAAACGCATTTTCGTTTCCGCCACCAAAAACACTGCCAAGAAGGGCATTAGCCGCTTCAGAATTATTCAGATCACCGTATCTAATATAAGTCACTCCAGACTCCGCCATTTCTCGGATAATCGTTTCACTCTCTTGAATTTCGATTTCTATATTGTTTCTCAAGCTGCACCCGCTCCGTGTGTTTGTGTCTGTGGGCCCCACTTGCTGTGGAGGTAGCACACTTTCGAACTCGTCGACTTCTTCTAGAAGTGTGGTCTGTGGTGTGCCGTTGTTGATGTACAAGTCAATAAGGTCTTCGTTTTTCATGATACTACTCGAACTTGACTGTAGTATTCTCTCTTTGAATTCACTGAAATCTCGAAACACCCTCTCTAACCCGTCATCTATGATTTCTTGTGGAGCTTCTTCCGAGTTATCTGCGGTTGTATCGAGATTAGGCTCCATATTATTTGGGAGCCAATGTTTGTATTAAGCCTCAAATCTTTTTTGTTCTTGATCAAGTGAAACCTCAAGTTTCTGCCTTTCTGGTGTGTTTTGTCAAATCATATAACATATGAATACTTTATTCCCTTGTACTATGGACACATGCAAAACTCGTGCTGAAAATCATGTAGTTTGTGTGTAGGAAAAAAACTGCGTAAATCATGGCTAAGTTATGAGTTTTATTACAGGAACTGGGAATTAAGGGCATGGCTAAGTTATGAGTTTTATTACAGGAAATAGGAATTAAGGCCAACCCTGATGTAAGGTTAAATTACGAAAACAACCATAATGATTGGGTAATTACAACTCCTCCTCAACTATGAATCTTCTTATACGTCCACCCTTATAGTGTCAAATTCAACATAGTTTTCTAGATTTGGTGGAATGTTCGTTAGTTTGTACTCGTTTTACGCACAAAATGCAGCTTCTGATGCACAACAATTTGATATTTACAAGCCAAGAGATAAATGCAGCTTATGATCATTTTGTTTTAAAATGTGGAGCTCGAATGAAAAAAAAATGGGTATAAACTAGAGAATACTCTTCATAATTTAAAAAATTCCACTAAAATTGTCAAGGCATGTATGAAATTGTAAGAAAATTCATAATTGAGGGGTGGTTGCAATTATCCAAACATGAGGGATTTTTTTTTCATAATTTAATCCCATGGTCGTAATTTACCCTAATTTCTATGTAAATAAGTAATACTAGGTTAGTAGGTTGTTAAAGGTGGATATTCTTATTAACAAACAAAAAAAAAACAGGTGGGGAACATTTGGTTGAGCGAAACGCGACATTGGGTATCTTAGGACAAAGGCGTGTTTGTGTGTGCCAAAATTTTAGGGCTAAACGTTGGAAAATGTGGTGGCACCAACTCAATACTTTGTAGACCCATCTTATCAAAGTGGGATGGATGGATACTCACTCACTACTCCCATATCTCTTCTATAGGACGATTCACTCATTACTAGAAATGTTGAATATATATATTTTTTTAATTATATTTAATAATATCTTTATGTTTTTTCATTATATAGGTGTAAAAACAAAAAAAAAAAATGTATTTGTTAAGAGCCCTGAGTTTATTCAGTTTACTTCGAGCTTCGAGTGGCTATGTATTCTCTTCTTAAAAAAAACAAAGAAGGCATCTTATTTTTAGGAGCACATGATTTAATCTTAAAATAAAAGGCAAAATTTAATGATGACAAAATCTTTCGTGTAAAACTATGTATGAATTATGATGATGATCATGTTATTAATATATGATTATCGCCATCATGACCATCATCTACCCCTTGTAATCATAGCATCTATTTTTTAAGGTTTATGAAATTATAAATAATATTATAACTTTAAGCCATCATATTTTTGTAATTATAATAATAAGCACCTATTATATTTTTATTTGGTAATTCTAACTCCGACTTCTTTTGTTTCAACTTTTTTTTAGGCTGAAAAAGAATGGGAGGGGCCTCGTTAAAATCTCTGGCGAGAGTACAAAAAAGGAAGCAACTGTTTTTTGATCTTCTTGTGATTGTATTATGTAAATCTATTGCTCTTAATGAGTAAATGAAGATCTCAATTTAATTGTTTTTTTTTTTTTCTTTTTGGGCTAAATTGAGCTTGATTCTCTAACATATGTCTTATTATATGACGATGTCACAAAAAAATTAAAATCGAGTGTAACCAGGATTTATTTGGTAATTAAGATAATAAACAGCACGCGTAGTAATCGGGTGGCCTCCAAAACTACCAACAAAAATAGGCAAATGGCATCTAATCTCAACTCCCACATCGATGATTCATCGATCACCGTCTAAGGTGTCAACTCCGACCAGTACAATCAGACGGTATCGGACAAGACACGTGGCCGACAAAGAATACAAGGAAAAAAACCAACGTCCATCAAACTGTATAGCAAAAGATGAAGAAGATAGAAAGAAAGACTAAACCAAAAGTAGTGGGAAGAACTATGATGAGAAAGCAATCTTTGATAAATAATAAATTAAAGAAGGATCTTTCCACCGTGGGTCCCACTTCTTGTAGGGGCTCTTCCCCACTACCCACTTGCATTATATTGCATGCTTAAAGAAAATAACATCAAAAAATAAATAAAAAATTCCACTCGTGTAAAATAGGTAATTATTTTATTTTATTTTCTTGATGAAAAAGACTGATGTATATGTATTTCAAGAAGATTATCATTATCTTTCATTGATGAGTAGGTTGACTATGAGCACAATCTATGCAATTTTTTTCTCTAGCTAGCTCATATGTTTCCAGTATTATTAATTATGGTAGGGTTTTCACTTCTCAGTGTGTGTGTGTGTGTGTGTTTCTGTTACATATAAGCATGGACCGATATTCGAGCCTTTTTCTCGTCGATATCGTGTGTATATATATGTATAACATGCATGTATGATCATATATATTATAAGTAATGATCAATGGTTTCTTCAATTTGATTATCAGCAGCTACTATTGAGGTAAGTTGTTAATTATCTTTTGAATTTTGTTTTAGACAAGCGTACGAACGATCGATAATGTCACCCGATGAATCGTGTTGCGTCGTGTGCTATATGAATTAAAGGCCATTTTCGGTATCTCTTTCCGAAGAATAAAAGCTCAATGCACTTTATATCTTTATGTTTCTGTTCTGCTATTCTTTGCAAAAGAAAAGAGAGAAAAAAAATGAATGGTGCTGTCAACTTTTTTAATGCAATTCCAATAGAGTATGGACAAATGTGAAAGTAATTTTCAAATTAAATAAATAAATAAAAAAACTTGCATTGCAGAAATCTGCTAAGCTTCCTTATCAGTTCCAAAAGTATTACACCCAAATTTAGCTAAACTACCACATTTACATATATATTGTAAAGCCACTCAGACACTGTGCTTTTCTCTTTGCTACTCCACAATTTTGCATTTTTTAAATTTATTTATTTTATTTATTTATTTATTTATTTTAATTTCTTCTAGAGTGATTAAACAAGATAACACTGGTTTCAATTTGCACCATCCACTATTATTCCATTCACCATCTCCTTCCCAAAAGCATGGGTCTTTAATCAAGATTCCAAGTACACCAATACCATTACATTATATATGTATATATATATGTTTCTTTACACATGTGAATCCACGTGCGAAAAATACGTGTGAAGTATTTTCAGTTCAGCAGAATTAATATGTATATGTATGTATGTTCTTTCTTCAATTTTCATTTTTTCTCCACTGATGCATAGAATTAGCCATCTTTGTTATATAATTTAATTTGCTGTTGTTTCTGGACTAAAAAGTTTCTTGCAAGAACGTAACGAATACCTTCGAGGATGAAGTTTATGAAACTCGGGACTCGGCCGGACACATTCTACACGGAGGAAGCCACTAGGTAATAAATAATATGTGTCTGCAAAATGTTTCAGACACATCAGTAAATTGCTGGTCTGTAAATAATTATAATAACCTGATTCGGAATTCCTGTCTCGAATTTTCAGGACGGTTATATCAGATGTACCGAGCGATGTCACCATTCGGATAAACAACGTCACTTACCTTCTGCACAAGGTAAACTTTTTTAGAGGCAAAAATGTATCGTAAGAAACGAAAAAACACAGTACTCAGATGTTTCGTTTTTTCCCCCTAAGCTACAGTTTCCTCTTCTTCCAAAGTGCGGCTTATTACAACGCCTGTACACTGAGTCGGAAGATTCCATCTCTGGCCACGTCACCCTTGACCTAACCGATATTCCAGGTGGAGACGAAGCTTTTGAGCTGTGTGCCAAGTTCTGCTATGGTATCACAATCAATCTCAGTGCCCACAATTTAGTTTCCGCCTTTTGTGCTGCAAAGTTCCTTCGGATGACTGAAGCAGTCGAAAACGGAAACTTCATCGTAAAATTGGAAGCTTTCTTCTCGTCATGCATTCTTGAAAGTTGGAAAGATCCCATTTTGACTCTGCAGAACAGTGAGAGAGTTTACGAGTGGTCTGAAAATCTCGGTATTGTAAGAAGATGCATTGAATCAATTGTTGACAAGATATTAACACCTCCCACAAAGGTTGGATTTTTATGTATTATTTATCATTTATTTATGTTTTGCTGTCGTAATTTCGACATAAAGAAAAAGCCCTTTTCAGGTTACATGGTCTTATACGTATACAAGACCAGGGTACGAGAAAAAACGCAACCAATCGGTGCCAAAGGATTGGTGGACAGAGGACATATCTTTCCTTAACATAGACATGTTCAGATGCATAGTTGCTGCAATAAAATCGACTAATACGCTGCCACCTCAGCTCATCGGAGAGGCTTTGCATGTGTACGCGTGCCGTTGGCTACCAGAGATCACAGAACATAACAGGCCTAATAGTGAGGCTTCTACTTCTAAAACGGAATATTCTCCGGACAGACAACGGAATATTCTTGAGACTGTTGTGGGCTTGATTCCATCGGATTATAAAGGGTCTGTCTCGATTAAGTTCTTGCTGAGACTTCTTAGTACCGCCAATTTTCTCGCAGTTTCTACCGTCACAAAAACAGAGCTTTTAAGGCTGTCTGGTTTGCAGCTCGAGGAGGCAGCATTGAATGATTTGCTGATTCCGTCCCAAAACTCCGTTTACGACATTGATTTGGTTCAGACAGTTTTAGACAGTTTCTTGAGGCAGTGGAAGAGACAAGCCGCCGCCACATCATCAGACGGCATACTTAAGATTGGAAAGCTCGTGGATTCTTACCTCCAGGTGGCAGCAAAAGCTGCCGATATGCCGGTTAAAAAATTGGCATCTCTCGCTGAAACTTTGCCTCGAATTGCTCGGCCAATTCATGACGATCTCTACATGGCAGTCAACACTTATCTCAAGGTTAATATGGATTTCTGGTGCTTCTGTGTATATCTTTTTCGAAACTAGATTAATATATTTACATGCACATTTACTACAGGAGCATCCTGATCTGAGCAAAGCGGACAAGAAACAGCTCTGTCGGGTTTTAGATTGTCAGAAATTGTCCCCACAAGTACGAGGTCATGCCGTGAGGAACGAGCGTTTGCCACTTAGAACAGTTGTGCAGGTTCTCTTCTTCGAACAGGAGAAAGTCAACTCCGCAACAGATATCGAGCGAGACCAGCTTAATAGAAACAACCTGAGAAAAATAAAATCGAGCGGTGATGAGAAGTCACTCAAAGCCAGGGGCAATAGAGCTTCGACACCTGGCACAAGTGGAGTTCAAGATAATCTGAGGACGTCCGATGATAAGATGGAACTGAGACAAGAACCAAGCTTTAAAATAAGACAAGTTACGGAACCAGAAACGGAGAAGGCGGGTTTCGGGGTTAAGTTGAATTCACACGAGAAAGCTCAAATGAGACGAATATACGAGAGAACTTACAGATAAGCCACAGCAAGATTCTTTTATGCTCTTCATTATCATTTGCCCTGTGAGTATGTAGAGTGTGATTTATTATTGTGTAAAGTAATTTTATTATTATTATAATTATTATTATTATTATTGATGTTAATGTTGCTTCAATCTACGAACATGTTGCCGATAAAGCCACACAAGTCGCAACAATACTAGTCTAGTAGTCTACTCGATCGACATTTTCGATCGAAAAATCACTGCCAAGAAAATAATCAATACATGGCGAAAATATATACAACTTTCATGTTTGGTATACAGAATAACTAAGCAGTTAGTTTCGATATTACAAAAGCGTCTGAGTCACTAAACACAACCGTGCAATCGCGTAACGCAAACGCACAAAAGTAGCAAGACAAAATTTTGTTGTTTCTGATTTTCTACATTAAGTTACAATCTTCCATCACCACCGCGATCGAGGTGCGGGTCTTTATGTACAATCGAAAGTACACACAACAGGGAAATCGTACGATCTGTCTTTTGTATTTCCTCCAAAACAAAAAAAATAGGTTGTCTGAACCTCCAGAAAATGTCTTACCGAGTGAAGAAAAAAAAACCGAATATCCTCACTGGTTTACTGTCGAGTTCAAAGGATCATAATCATACGGATCGCCCGCTTTCACAAAACGACCCTTCACACGCTTCCTTACGTCAGCTCTCTCCTTGCGAGAGGCGTACCTTATTTTTTTGTCGAACCTGTTTACAATAAACAATTTGAAAATTAGAACAATTTAGATTATGACAACACCATGCCGTAAAAAAAGGAGATCGAATTTTTTTTCTTCCGGAAACTAAATACTTACTTGCGAGCCTTCTTTTTCTCTCTGTACCGCAAAACTGCACCATCCCTCCAAGCCGATGGCAGCTGATTATCGGGATAAAGACTATTACACGGATGTTCGTCTGTCATAACCATCGAAAAGTCTCCACACTCCGGGTAATCTCCAATGTCACACCCATTTGAAACCGATAGAGTAGATTGCGCTGGTCTCGGAAAGCAAACGTTTAAATCCGAGCTAGTAATTGAGTCGGCAGTTTCACTCTTTGAGCTCGAGACCTGAAATTAGTTTCGAAATGTCAAACTTTTGAAACGTCAAGATTCAGGGTAATTGAAAGAAGAAGGCTTAAAAGATGTCGTACCTTGGGCACTTGTAGACGCTGAGGTTTGCATTCATCGTTATTCGAGTTTCCGATTTCGAACAGGCTATTAATTCCACCGTTCTCGAAAAATTGTTGGGAGCCATCAAAAGATTCGTCAAAAATAGCGTCGTAGTCCTCCATACTCAACTCCATATCCGAGATCTCGAGTTCTTGGTAGAGAGCATCGTTAACTGGTTCGAGATGCTTTACTCTCGTTGAAGATGCCTACATAAACGAACCATAAACATTCCATCAAATAATGCCAAATGATTAGAATAACAGGACAGGGTAAAAACTCGAGCGAGGCAGACGGAAAAAGATGTCAATAAACACGTAATGGCCAGTTTAACTGTAGCCATTGACCTTCGTCCGGTCATTGTTTAATACAAATATAGCTTGAATTGGTTAAGCCAAAAGTTTCAAAGTTACCTCAAGAGATCCTTTAGTGCTTTGTATAAAATTTCGTCTAGTCACAGATGAAATGGTTTTTGTGAGAGTTAAGCTTCGAAATAAATCGAGGTTAGCAAAAACGTACCTTCTTGTCGTTTAGTCCCACTCAACCAACAGCAACAGCCAAAAGAGGATGAATTGCAGGGGAAAATCGGACCTATTATATAATAAATTCAGGCTACTACTTCTGCCTTTTCGGAAACGAAAAGCAGAGAAAAGTAATACTACCGATCCATTAAAATGAGCTAGTGTAAATACTTAAAAACCTCGTTTTCCAAGATTTACGAAAATCTATTTTTGATTGGGTGAAAAATAAAAATCGACGAACCCTTTTCCCCTACAACGCTGTTGGTGTGTCGAAGAACAGCTCCAAACCTATGTTCCTGTTCGTTTCAAGTCGGGGGTTATTTACAAACATCTTATAGATCGATAATTACCTTCTGATTAAGAGGATTCAACGATTCACTATCACGAAATCGCTCAACGTCAGAAGCATCTTCTATCGTACAATCAATCTTCATGCTTTTGCCTTCTTCAAGAATCATCGAACCTTCTTCAGGGTCGTGAATTGAACGGTCAACCGAGAAGAAGGACCAGAATCTTGAAAACTCGGTTGCTGTGGGACAACCCGTGTAAGAATTGATTGTTTGTCTTTTGTGGTCGGCGGTTGAAGGACGGGAAGAATGCTCCGACCAATCGCAGTTTTGACAGAGCGACATCTTTTCTTCGCTGCACCTCACAGTTGCAGGCTGACAGTTGCACCGTTCGCATAAAAGGGTTCTCGTGTGGCGCTTCGAAAGGGCGTTTGCGGAATGAACATTTCGGTCGCAGGATAGACATAGTGAAGCTGCATCGGATCTACAGTAGATCATCGGTCTTTGATCACCGCAGAAATCACATAATTGACCCATTTTTTTGTGTATATATGCTGATTTCGTTTCTGCAATCAGGGCAAATCGAAGAAATTAATAATTGATTCCTTTTTTTTTTTTTGAACTAGATTCCGTAAAACTTTGTCACTTAGCTTAGCAGTTAGCTGGTTAGCTTGTGAACTTGATTTAAAAAAAAAAAATCAAAAAAAAAAAAATAAAAATTAAGTCTTTGACAGATTGAATCAGAAAACTTGCCAACAGAAGATAAAACATAGTTGACCACAACCATAAACTGTTGACTTTTATACAGCAAGAAGAGATTTTTAAAGTAATTACTACACAGTATACAGCAAAGGGATGACAAAAAGTTCAGTAAACAATTAACATGTACTGCAGCTAATTTTGCAAAATAAAGATCTAAATTTTCAATTCAAGAAGTGAGATTTACAGCATCAAAAGATACTAATATATACACAAATAAGAAGATCCATAAATTTCAACTTATTACAACTTCGTACATATGACTAATTTCTTGTTTTCTTCAATCAAATAAATATTAATAAAAAAAAAAGAAAAAAACAGAGAAGAAGTAAAACTACTAATGAACTAAAGATCCGATTCATGGTACCACATAAGCCAAAAAATACAACAAATTAAAGAAGAGCTCACCAGTATCTGAATACGTTCTTGATGTCAACAACAGGGGTGAAACTGTCACAAAAAAACTCCGGACAGTATAAATCAAGAACCAACACAGCAGAAACGCGGCGGCGGAGGAGTAGCAGAGCACGGCGGATCTCAGGTGGTTGTGGGTTTTTCTTGGGGTAGAGCAAACAGAGGGGAAAAGAGGTGTATAAAAAGTTGGGCAAGTTAGAACGAAAGGTCAGCAGGCAATATTAATACGAGCTTGAGATATGGTGGGTGGGTGGGTGTGCAGGGGAGGGGTAGATGTGGAATTAAATACAAAGATACCTTTTTTGCACTTTTATTTCCACTTTTTCTGACTTGATTGGTGCCTGAAAGGCCATGTCGCTTTTCTGCCAACTTGGTATCGATCCTATCTGCATTTATCTATTATTTAATCTTTACTCTGAATTACTGTCTGAATTAAGATATAATAAAAAATATTTATTTTTTTATGAATGTAATTTTATAAAGAAGTTCCATTTATAGGGACTTCTATGTTAATTTAAAAGGTATGAAACATCGCCAGGTTTTACAGAATTGTACTTTTATTTCTTCTATTATAATAAATTATCCTAAGTAACCCCAAATTAAATTATGACAGAAAAATTCCTTCTATTTGGGTAATTACGATTACTTATCAACTATGAAACTTCTTGCACGAATATTATTATGGTGTAGAATTCAACATAATCTTGTAGATTCTTGTGGAACGATCTCTAGTTCGTACTCGTTTTGTGCAAAAAAATAGTTCAAAATGTGGATTCGAACGGGGTAATACAGGTGCAAATTGAAGAGTATTTCACACAATCTAGAAAATTTCACTAAATTTGACTACGCAATGACGAACGTATAATAAGATTTATAGCTGAGAGGTGATTGTAATTACCTGGAATTTTCGTAATTTGAGGGCTGGCCGTAATTCTTTTTTTTTTTGTTTTTTTTTTTTGTGCTTATGTTGTTTGCTTTAAGAAAAATATGATGACTTTTTATTAATAATTAATCAGCTTATAAATAGGTAAAAAAAAAATATGACAAGAAACCATGAGTATGGAACATCTCAAAAGTCAAAACTAAATTAAAAATATTAAATTGTCCTTTAAAAACTATTCATTATGTAAAATTTAACTACTCTAGTTGTATTATTATAACCATAAAGTGCTGATATTTTAAATTTAATATCTCACAGAAATATCTAATTTAGATGAAGCGAATAATGCACTTTTCTTTATTAGAACTCACGCATCTCATCACACACTTGCTTGGGCACAGACTTCCAGATATTTAACCACAAGTGCTGATATTTTAATTTAATATGAAATATATTATAATAATAATATTTAGTAGTAATCATTATTATTAATTTTTTTTTAATTATTATATATATGAGGAATGGTGGAAAAATAAAATTGTAAATTTGTCACTTTTGTAATTATTATGGTTAATTTAATCTTTAATCTTGATTGGGACATAAATCTCATCTACCCCAGCCTGGAGAATACGCTGTTTTTGGAAAAAGAATAAATAAATCAGTCGCATCAAAAAATAAATATCTAACCCAAAATATCTATACGTAAAATACCTAAAATATCCAACTCTAAAGTGTTCTTTTTTTGTGACATCTTCCTAAGTTTCCAATTCAACGATCATATCAGAGCCCCAGTCCCAATAGCAGGCCACGTGCCCCAGCCAATTAAAATTGCCCAACTCCACAACCAAACACAATATTGTTTTCCGACCCAATAAAAATTAAATACAAAATAAGTTCAAGAACTTTATTTTAGGTACAATTTACTTACATAAAATAATTAGGTATTTCAAAATTTTAAGTTAAAGTATGTGATTTGGACACCAAAAATCACCTCTATATAGCCCGTTAAAGAAGCCCGATTCGCGCAGGCCCAATGAAACAAGGAAGCCCAGGCCCATGAGCACCACGAGAAAGTCTGTCCTAAGTAGACCGCGTGAACGTGGACGACCTTACAAGCTAGTGCCAAGCTCGATCCACGGCGAACACATAAACACATCTATTACTCCAACAAGCGCATTTAATGCGAACGTCTAAACATTAAATGGTCTGACACGAGCATTTAATTGCCTAAGTGTTCGAAGACGGCCAAAAAACTGGAGAAGGCCATGGTTCTATGAAGTATGTACGCTTTAAACGGCGGCAACAAGGTAACTAAATGACGATGCCTTAGATTACCGACGTGCGCAAAATAGACAGACGACGATTTGAGTGGCGATTGACACGTTCCAGCTCCGTTTTCAGGGCCAACTTTATTAACTTCGATTTTGATTTTGTTTTTTATTTATAGAGGGAGTTGCAATCGATATAGCCAATGCCCAATAGTATTCTATAAATATAGAAAACGTAGATAATTTTGAGATTTGTGCACTTTAATTATGAAGAAAATATAGAAAAAAAAATCGATTAAATACTAATAAAGGGCTTGGATTAAATCACATGCCTAATACAGGACTTGGATTAAATCACATCCGTGCAACTTTCTTTCAAATAACAACATAGCCAGCTGTTAGTCATCTCCACCGTGCGTTCCGAATCGAGAGTCAAAAAGCACGATCTAAAAGTGCAGAGTAAGCGCGACCACGTTAAATACCATGCTCAGCACCACACGTGAAAAATGTGAGAGTTTTTACCAGCTAAGCGCCACGCAAACAGCCAATAGTGATGCTTTCTGTTCCGGGAAGACACCTACTGCACATATATACTTGCTGCAATACACACCACAGCATATACGTATACACTATACATACAACAGAACGCCGATCGTCATCGCTTCCGCCACCACTTTCTCTACCTAGGTTTCCGTATCAGTAGGCAGTATTCCTCAATTCTCCATTTTTTTTTTAATATTCTTCCATCAATTTTTTATTTTTTCTCTCCAATTTCCAGTTTCCAATTTCCAATTTCCCCCCTTTCCACCAATCAAACAATTATACTGTTCTTAATCAATTCCAATTATTTGTGACTTGTGTGTTTTTTCTCCTATTTTTTTGGGGAAAAACAGAGAAATTCAGAAAACCCTCCAAATAGCAATCTACTTATTCGAATTCAAAGTGAATCAGTGGCGCAGAAAATGGTTTGTTTTTCTTTCCACGTGCGTCTAAATTTTAATTGAAAGGTAAAAAAGCATCTTTCCTTTACTGTTGATCGTATATCCGTATCTATTATGCTGATTCCTTGTTGAATTTCACTGCAAACATGCCTCGGAAAGTAGAGATTTTTGTATAGATGGAACGCTGGATCAATGCATGTATGTTCAATATTGCTTGTTAATTCCAATTCGACTTTCAGCTATGCGTTTGGCCTGTTGTCAGTTGTCATTTTTTATGGATTGCAGGTTGATATTAAATGTAATTCAGTAGGTTCTTTCTCGGACTTTGACAATTATGAATTACTTGTTCGAATCCCCGACAGTTGATTAACATGTTTAATAGTAGAAACATATGAAATCCCCGAGGAATATATTGCCTTGTAGATTTTTTAGGATTTGTTGTACTGTTTTTGCATCTCATTACATTGAGCAGAGGTAAGTTTCCATTTTTAATCTGATTTGTTCTCAATTTAATTGTAAAGATAAATGACAAGAAATAAAGCTGGTAATCATGATCTTCTTAGCTGTTATTACACAAATACTTTAAGAATCGAGTTTCCATCCATCAGAATAAGCTAATGATTCCAAATGCTGGCTGATATCTTTTTCTTTTTTTGGGATCCCAAGAAAATATGTTCATTTATTTGGTTTCCAGAAGTGTCCTTACTGAACGTACATGGCGTGCCTGTTGCTTAGTTTGAGGGTTACCTAGCTTTTCGCTCTATGCTGTAAATTATTGTACATCAATCTGGCTCAAGGCAAAAGTTCTTTTTATCTAGTACTAGTGATTTTTCTTATGCAAATGACAAACAATCACTTTGTTGGTGTAAAGGTATGGAGTGTTATGATTTCTGGAGAAGATGATGGTGCAGTGCTTAGACGGAGTGAAACATTTGCTTTCTTCTATTGTAAATTGCTGTGACTCTGAGATATACAAGCAACCCTGGGGTCTGGAAAATCCTGAAGCTCTAGCAAGGGAGACAGTATGTATGTCATCTTATCACTTGAATTTTGTCATTTTTTGTGAAGTGTAAGTCAATAATAATGCTACAATATTTCTTCACATTTTTGTTTCCCTTTTTCTTTTGAAATATCTTTGTTGGGAATTTTGGATATGGGGGAAAATACATAGAGAAATACAAGAATAAATCAGCATGCACTCTATATCCTGATTTTTTTCCACGTTGAAAAGAGAGGTAGCAGAAGATGCATCTTATTTGGTTGTTTTTTATGAAAAAAAATGATTGCGAATCTTCTCTCTTTGTCTCTTTTGTGATTTAATTATTTACTCCTTTTGAGTTGCTCAGTTTTCCTGTTTTTAAGATTCTTTTGTTTCATTTATGTAATGCGGACAAATATTAAATTCAAGAGGGTAATGAAAACTCATTCTGGCACCAACTACGTTTATGTAAAATAAAAGAAAGATTGGTTTGGTAAATTGCATAAGTAGCATCTTGCAGTTTGTATTAGTTTTTCGATCCTACATTTTCCCAGTCAAGCTCTATGTTTACTGCCAAGTAACTCCTTTTTTTTTTGTTTACCTCATTGATGCTGTGACGCAGTTAGTGTTAGTGAAATTGAAGCATTATATGAATTATTTAAGAAGATCAGTAGTGCTGTAATCGATGACGGCCTGATTAACAAGGTAACTTATATTTTTCGTGCACTTCTTTTATTTGTATCGTTTCACTTACTGTATCTTAATATGGTATTTCTGTCTCTTGTATATATTTGTATTCAGGAAGAGTTTCAGCTTGCGCTATTTAAAACAAACAAAAAGGAGAGCCTATTTGCTGACAGGGTTAGTTTTCATGCGCCAAATACTGCAAATTGCTTAAAAATAGCGGACAGGGTTAGTTTCACGCACCAAATACTGCAAATTACTTCATAATACATTTCTCTATCCATCTTTTTTAAAGATACACTGCAGCTCAAGTGTAATCCACCTATGCTGTATAAATCTTGAGTGGCTCAGTCCAACATATTTCCCATTTTTTGTTGTGCATGACTACATCTTTGGCTTCAAACTGAACTCTTCTTCTGTTTTGCTGTAACCACCGTCGTTGTAGTTTTTGTTATCATCACCATCATGTCTGTTTTTGTTGTTGTTGTGGCTGTTAGTTTGATCATACAATTGTCATAATTCTGAAGGTATTCGACTTGTTTGATACAAAGCACAATGGGATATTAGACTTTGAAGAGTTTGCTCGTGCTCTTTCAGTATTTCACCCAAATGCTCCCATTGAAGATAAGATTGATTGTAAGTATCATATTTTCATTGTTGGTTTTTAAGTCAGTGCTCTGCTTGTCTTCAATAATGTATATAATTATGCCGAAGCAAAAGTATTAATTAAAAAATCTGGAAGTTAAGCACCTAGTGTTCTTTAAGTTTCATTTTTGGCCATTTTGGCTTATTTACTAGCTTTTCTTCTTCGGAATGGGGTGTGGGTAAGGGGCTGTTGAAATTATGCATATTAATTGCTTACAGCTATATCACGTACTGTTTTCTTCGAGTTGATGATTCCAAACTTTTACTGTTACAGTTTCATTCCAATTATATGATCTCAAGCAACAAGGATTCATTGAAAGACAGGAGGTAAATCTTTTTTTCCTTGGAGAAAAAACCAACATGTTCCATACTATACCGCGGGAGTCATGATTTCTCATTCGATTATTGTAGGTAAAGCAAATGGTGGTGGCCACACTGGCTGAATCTGGTATGAACCTCTCGGATGATGTTATAGAGAGTATCATTGACAAGGTGGATCCCCCTAGCCGCCTTATTATTATATTTAACTTCTAGAGTTCTATCACTCTCTTTTATTTGTCCATTTGCATTTTACTCGTAAATGGTAGACTTGAAGCTTATCAAAGTCAAATAATGATGGTGATACTGTAAATAATTAGAACTATTGCCTAAAAAAGAAGACCGGGTGGGTTTTTTTTTCGGATGTGATACTCTATTTATGTGCATCAAGATTGAAACATGCGAGTCTTGCAGTAACTTTTGTCTTCATTCATTGCACTCGCAAGTCGCATCTATACAAGTTATCTATTTTCCCGTAATTTTGTTCAGACATAAATAAGCATGACGAGTTAATTAAAATCTCTGTCATTGTATCTTTAAATTTTTTTCAGACATTTGAGGAAGCAGATACCAAGCACGACGGGAAGATTGACAAAGAAGAGTGGAGGAGCCTTGTTATGCGACATCCATCTTTGTTAAAGAATATGACACTGCAATACCTCAAGTAAGTGTTTATTATACAATTCGTCGTTAGATATTATAACCATCATTTAATTCAAACGATTTCTTGGAGACAACGTGACACTTTGATGCATTACCCGTGTACATTTAACTTATTTGCTTCGAAACAATTTTATGCGACACTATCAATTTACATGCTTTGAACATAGTTTTGAGTCCCTGAATTCAAATTTTTTTTTATGGACAGAGACATCACAACCACATTCCCCAGCTTTGTATTTCACTCGCAAGTTGATGATGCATAGTGCGGCTTTTCAAATCAAGACAGCATTTTGATTTTTTCTGGGTTAAGGTCTACAAAAGTAACGTGAATCCCGATTGGATGCACAAGATGAAAATGCTGGATTTTTTTGTTACTTGACTATGCGACGTGACTATATTTATCTGCTTTATATTTTGATGGCTAAAACCTTCCTTCTGTCACGGTCGATTCTAGAAATTTGAGCACAATTTATTCGTATCGCTCCTCTCTTCGGGTTCCTTTGAATCTGTAAGAAGGCATCAGTTGTTTTCTCTTCAGTTCTGTGGACTTATTGAAGTCCTATTTATAGTACTTATTGGATTTTAATGAATTTATATATGATATATTTTTGGAAGAAAGAAAAAAATATTTCACATGATTACAAGTTGTTGTATAATATTTTTTTGCCGTTATATAATATTTAATTTATCTGGTGGAGTGAATTAGTCAAAGGAAAAACGTGAGAAAAAGTTTAATAACAGCAGTGTTAATACAAATCTCTAATTGAAGAAATTGGAATAAAGTATAATCGTGTTCAAGTGAATCGAGCGATAAAATGACAAAGTCGTGTGTAGCTTTTCAGTTCAACTGTACGCATTGTACTGAGAACTAAGAGAGAGAGAGAGGCCGCTAATTGATTAAGGAAAATTATAGTTTGACCCCAGCACTCACACCAAAATCGAGATTAGACCCACAAATTTATTCCCACAAAAAATACAGCCATCATTTATTCCCAAAATTTATTTCCCACTGGCAGTGTGCAAGCCCTTTAAACCCACAATTTCTCACTCTGCTGCCGTAGACTCCCACCGGACTTTCCGCATTCGCCGCCTTTCTTTTCAGGTAAGAATTGATGCATGCAACATTTGTTCTTCATTTTTCTGTTCGGATTTTTTTTTTCCTTTTTAACCAACAAAATTGGAATTTTGATTTCGTCTGTGGTGTTTGGTCAGCCCATCTTCCGCTCAATATTTTGCATGTCAATTTAGCTTTACTTTATCTTTTTCTGTTTTCCCCCGATTAAAAACATACATTCAGTAAAACCCCTTATATGATTAATTGGGGTTAATTTGTCGCTCTTAGGTCCTTCAAGAAAAATAGAATGGCAGAAAAAGGAGGAAAAGGGTATGTACCGCCCAAAGGTGGAAAATCTGCTCTCAAATCACCCGGTAATCGGTTTTTTTGCTTACTTAGGTTTTGTATTTTTGGTTGCCGATTTTGCTGTTTCGTGTATGTATGTGAAGGTTAAGTGTTGGCTGTATGTATATGTGTACTGTTTCTTTTTGTCATTCTACTTGGCGTGGAATGTGGTGATGAATCGTTGGCATATAGGTTTAGTATTTAATACTTATTAAAGACTCGGACAACGTATGTGAAATTCACAGGTTTATGTTTTTTTTTTCTTCTTACTTCTGATTTTGCATTTATGAGTTGTAAACATGAAATATTTGTTTTTATGCTGTCAACATTTGAGAATTTTATTTCTTGGGGCTTTAAGTGGTATCAGGAGAATCGGACATGCGGTTTGTATACATCTTAGAAATTCCTAATTTGGGCGAGCTGGGATGCGGTCTGTGTGTTATTTCTGGCTTTGGGTTTGGATAGTAAATAAATTGATGTTCGACTTACTAAAAGTAACTCGCGCTATTTTTTCTTTGCTCCACCATTCTTACCCGATTTTACCAAGATTTTGCATATATTCAAGTCGCAATCAATTTCTGGTTAATCAGTGTAATCGCTATTTACTCAACCGACTTTTGCCATTATTGTGGATCTTGTAGCATATTGTTAGTGATCCGTTTCACCACTTTCTTTATCTGCTTATGTATCATACTTATTAATTGTGTGTTCCGTTTTTTTTTTTATCTATTCCTTTTTGTTCACACGCCTTTTGCAACATAATCAGTTAGCAACGGAGACAAGTCAAAGAAAGGCAAAGCAGTTCAATTTGATTCCGAAGGTTAAATTTGTTAACAACTCACCTTGTGTGCAATATAATTCATTATATATGTTATGACTTTAACTCACTTGTTATGTTAATCTTTTTGTTATTCCAAATGATTTAGATTCTTTTGAGAGCGATATTCCAAAATCTAATGGTGAGAAGGGTAGTGCACCAGCTGGGAAAGGTTCGCCTCGCAAACTCTTTACTATGTTCAACTGAGAGCCACGTTTCTTGGGACTTGCAATTTTGATTATAGTTTTCACTTTTCTCAATGCATACATTATATTTATCATTATCAATGGGGTTAAGGTGGAAAAGGTGGAAAAGGAGAAAAAGTTGCAAATGGCACTAAAAAACCCACAGCAAAAGCACCTTCGTCGACCGAGAAAACACTTGTGGATGGTTAGTTCATCAATGTTTCATGTTATCTATTTCTCTTCTCTCTCAGTGATGTATATCCTGCTATGCATATATATGTGTGTGTGTGTATTCTGTATTTACCTTAATTGACCAGTAATCCAAAGTATGTCTACTGATGCTATATCTAGTTTATTGGGTCCCAAAGCTTGCTGTGTCGTTTAAAAATTTTAGTCAAGACTTAAAAGCACTAGGTTTGACCAGATTGTAGCGTGTTTAAGCATGCAAAATATGTTTTGGATGATTGTTCTTGGCATATTTTTTGAGGTCATTGTTCTTCTAGTCTCCCTAATAGAACTGATAATTAATGTGCAGGGCTTCCTCCAAATTCTGTCTGTTTGATGGACTGTGAAGCCGCAGAAATCTTGCAAGGCATCCAAGATCAGATGGTCGTATTGTCTCAAGATCCAGATATAAAACTCCCAGTGTGAGTGGCAAAGTTTAAGTAGTTTTCATGATTATCGTTTATTTTTCATGATGCGAGATAAGATTTTTTCAGTAAGTTAAAGTGATGGACACTGTAATCTTTTAGGTCATTTGATATGGGACTGTCATACGCTAAGAGAGGTGGAAACCTTGCAAAGCCTCAGACTGTGAAGAAAATATTCGAGTATCCTTGTTTTATGCTAACTTTGATTTTCTAATTTTCATATATGTCTGGAATCCTTGGAAGATATTTTTATGTCTATTCTTTCCTACAAATTGTTTGCCATTAACTCGGATCAGGCCTCTGAAGAAGCACGGTGTTTCTGAAAGCGAGGTAGGTATTTATTTAGACTGGAGAGTCGTTCTTATGACACTTATGCCCTGTAGTGGATTTAACAAAATTTCTGTGTCTTCAGATTTGCCTGATTTCTAACGTAGGCCCTGAAACGGTGGATGAAGTTTTTGCGCTTGTCCCAGCCTTGAAGGTATTGTAACAGATAGCTTGTCGCTTTATGTTGGTTTTGTATCATTATTTATCTGCTGAAAATGCTCAGAGTTATCTCTTGTACATTTGGTTCGATTTTAAATACGGGATCGGTTTTGTTTTGTTTTGTTTTTTATATTGGTCGTCTAAAAAAATGGGAAAAATAGTGAGATTTGTTCTAAATGTTGGGTTACAGTTGTTAGTTTCCGTATTCGTTAATTAAATAAAGACCAATATCCAGCTAGCACATGTGTTTACGATGCTAGAGTTGACTCAGTTTCCTTTTTCTTGTCCAAAGCTTCATTGTCAACCGACACTAAGATGATGTTTTATGTTTTTTTTTATAGCCGAAGATGAGCACGTTAAAAGGTCCCCTCAGAATTGCTTTGGATGAACTAGCCATTCTCAAAGATGCTTTGGCTAAACTGAAAGAATCGATATAGAGGATTGTGGTAAATTATTTCAATGCGTTGATCTTGTGTTTAAGTACAAAACAAAATTGTGATTCTCATATGTCACTAATCGGATTCTTTTGCGACATTAATCTTGGCAGGAATCGTAGTAGTACCCAGGTTTTGCTGAAATTTGACGCTTGGTCGATGACGATGTCTCCATTATTTTTTCTGAATTAACGGAGACCAATTTTTCTAACAGTCGTAATTTTCCTATGTTGTATAGCACTGTGATACTTTGGCTACTGTAATTACTGGCTATTAAGACAGCAGCAAAGACTTTGCATCTGATTTGTAACTTGGAACCTTAATTATCGAAATTTAGTCAGACGCCATTGGTTCATTGCTTCGATTGTTTTAAAATGTAACGTATTATTAAAAAAAAAAAGAATATTGGTCTTATAGCTTGACCTCACAATGCAGGCTACTCAAAATACAGGTGAACACACATGTGATCGAATTCGAACACAAAACCTCTCACGAAAAGAAAGAAAAAGTAAAAAAAATAATTGGCCTTATTACTTGGCCTCACGATATCTTACAATAACATAAACACACATGATACGAATTAATTAACCGAGAAATCGAGTCGTGTTTTGATACATTGATTTTGAGAATAGGCTGTTTTATTTATTGGTCTTGGTCGTAAAGTCTTATCTTATTGGTTATCCTTGTGTGGCAAACAGGGCACCAGTTTAGATCACTTCCACATTCATGGCAAGTTTGATGCCCACATCCAAGTGCAAGATTCCTTTTGCTCCGTAAACAAACCGGACATGTCTGAGGAGAGAGAAGCGTCGGAGGATTTTTATTTATTTTTTCTTTTTTTTTTACGTCAACAAAATCAATAAAAGAAAAAAAAACTAAATTCATAGTCTTACCGGAAAAGTTGGGAAAAAGCCGCCTCCCAAATGTGGGTAAAGATTTGGTGGCGGAGGTGGTAGCGGAACCTTCGCGCTGTCTCCTCCTACCTGTTTGCTGCAAGAAAATACAACAAACTAAGTACCTTGTAGCGGTTGGTTTGAATCGAAAAATGATATATTGATGCAACGTTATGATTTGATTTTGATGATATCAATCTTTTACGAATATTGGTTTCTTGATTTCTAGTGTACGGGAACATTTTAGTTTTTACCTTAAGAGCTTGAGTTCGATCGTTGCCTTGTATTGCATAGGGACTTCCATTACTGCAGCCAGAGCAAACTCCGCTTCCTTCTCTGCCATAGGCTTATTTCTTGACATGATTTCTGTGAAGTTGACAAACTGCATTTTTGCACCACCAACTATTATTTTTAATTTATTGGTAAAATAAATAAATTATATTCTTGAACGTTGGATATAATAAATGTTGTAATCAAACCTGAATATTGTCAAAAGCCCTGCCTGGAATATTATCATCCATCCTCTTCAACATCTGCCACGGCCCGTCTCCAACTCCGACAAAGATTATGGACAACGGGTATTTGCTGAAAAAAAACGAGGAAAAGAAAAACGGGGTTTATATTGAGACAAGAGTTTATTGCATAAAAGCAAGTCCAGATTTATATATATATATATAACCTTGCTTTCACAATTGCATTAAAAGTGCTTCGCTCTTGAGTACTTAGCTCCCCTGGTTTGGTGTCCGCGCTTCGTGTCACCTTTCATAGCAAGTTATATATTTTAATCGGAGAATTGAAGTTTCCTTTTGGTTTTTTCGAAGAGAATGAACGAATGGATGACGAAATATTACCTGGCCATCAACTAGAACCAGAAGAATATGATATTTGCCACCACTTTGATCAGTTATCTCCATAGCAGTTTCAATTATTGGTGCAAACGATGAAGGCCCTAACAAACAATCACAAAAACAGATTTTCTTGAAATTTTTGCCGACATTAAAAAAAAGAAAAACAGAAAAAGAAAAGACAAAACACAAACCTGCTAGCTGAACATTTGGAACGATCTCTCTATAACGAGAAAGCACCTCATCAAATCCGTTACAGGGCCTGTGGTCTGGATAAAAGCTGAATACAGCTTCATCATGTGTAGTAACTGCAATAGCAAATCCAAACGTTCATTAATCAGTATCTAAATTCTTTGACATATACGCAGACGTATAGTAATAGCATGCATACCATCGCCAAAGCCAAAGCAAGGTATAAGATTATCCTCGTCAAAAGCCGAAAGCGTCCTTCCGATTATCGAAATCGCGTGCTCGTACGGGTTCACGACATCGCTAATGTGGTGCAGGCATTTCCCATTGAATGATTTTTTCCCTGCATTCTCGTTGCTTTTTGTGAAGTCAATCCCCACTATGAAATTCGACGACTCCAACCCAGCGTCCAAAACAGCTTTTGTCACCTAAAACAAAAAAAAAAAGGGTAAATACCGAAAACTCAACGTAAATTATTTGTCATATGCAAGACAAACAACAAATGTAAGTGTGGATCAAATGAAAATCACCTGGTCCAGAGACTTGTAGTTGTCCCCGATTCTTGAATGTTTGGACTGTTCTCCTCCCATATTCTCACACGTAAAATACACTTCAAATAGTTCTTGGAGAGATTATCACTAACACAATGTATTTAGATACAATTATCAGAGGAAAGGGTTGTTATACATGTATATATATATATATATATATATATATATATATATATATATATATAATATATATAAGAAGCGAAAGTGTCATATCCGAGTCGTTTTCTTTGCCTAACATGGAGAAAAGAAAAAAAAATGAATTTAATTGAGAGTGACTCAGTTGAGGCCAAGTGGCCAAGAACCAATGATAATAAGAATGAAAGCTAAATCAGCCATTTTTATGCATCAAAACTCGATCAATAAATTCATAGAATAATTAGCTGCGTCATCACATCGGTATAAGATGATGAGAGAAGAATATTATTAATTGCACTGCATCATTCAATAAGTATATTTTTACCAATTCAATAGAATCTTAATATCATTAAAATAGTTAAGCAATGGCCCACTATAACTATAAGCTAACAGCACTTCGTCTCGAATCAATTACGACCATAAAGGTATCAACTTCGAACAACTGGGATTCTATCTGTTTCGCCTTTTCATGTGCACGAAATCTTATTTTCATTGGCTAATCCGTTTCTCAGGGATATATGATAATGATAAAAAAAAAAATAGTTGCCTTCTGCCAACAAGCAAGTTGACTATTTCCATAGAATGTCAACTCATTGTTAGAATGAATCAAAACTAAACTAATCGCAATTATTAGTTTTTCTTCTAGGTCTTTTCTTATTCTGTGCAGAAGTCAACTGTCTGAGCCAAAGGTCAAACATCTGTTATTCCATTTAAATTTTTGTTTAACTGATTAATGTAGTTAGCCTCAACTCACAACCTAATATGAGTTTGTTAAATTTGGCACTAAATGTGATTTAGGGGTGTTTGCAAATGGTTTTTGGAAGAGATTATGATTTTTTTTTTAATTATTTATAACCTATTTTAGAGTATTTGCAAGTGCAACTTTCGTTTCTCTTCTCTAATATGAAAAATACTGCAGCAATTTTTTTTCAAATTAGAGCTAGAAAAATGTGATTTTTTTAGCAACTTGATGTAACACATGGTACTAAGGATGGAAATTAGACAGAACGGATCGGAATTAGCTGTATCGGGAGAAAATCCGATTTTTTCGGAAGTGAATAATTAATTCCAACTACGTTTGAAAGAATCGGAACTTTGGAAATTGGAACAAAAAAACTCATTCCAAAATCGGAAATTTTCGGATCGAAATCTGCATAATTCGGAAACTTCAAATTTTTTAGTCACCTAAAATATAATATTGTAATTTAAGTGTAAGTTTTGGAGAAAAAAAACAGGGAATTATCGGAAATTAAAATCGGAATCGCATATATATTTTAATTCCGTTCCAACAAAATTCGGATAAAGTCGGAACTGGAATTTTCGGATTCGAAATGAAAAATATTGTTCGAAAATCAGAAAATTTCCAATCAGAATCGGCGGAAATCGGAAATTATGTTCCAATTTCCACCCCTACATGGTATATAATGCAATAAATTCCATGTCAACAACGTATTGTTTATGACTTAAACAACAACTCATATTTCTCAAAAAAAAAAAAAAAAAAAAAAAAAAAAAAGAAACCGGACTCAGATACTGATTGATATGCACTGATTTTGAGTTTAGGCTGTTTTTCTTTTATAATTATTATTATTCTTGGTCACAAAGCTTTACTCTATCGGTAATCTTGTCGAGGCAAATAGGGCACCAGAAGAGATCACTTCCACAGTCATGGCAAGTATGATGTCCACATCCGAGTACAAGATCTCGTTCACTCCGATAGCAAACCGGACACTTTGGACGAGAAAGCATCACATGATTTTATTTTATTTTCGTCAGCAAAATCAAGAAAAACAAATTTACTAAATTCATATCATATGAATGCTAAAAACACAATACTAAATAATTACGGACATGATTCACAGTCATTAAGGGGAGTTGTAAGAGAATGTACCTTGTGACTTGAAGAACTTCCTCCAAAATGTGGGCTATAGTGGCTGTCCAACTCCGTCAAATCCGGGTAAAGATTTTCTGACGGAGGCGGTAACGGAGTCCTCATTCTACTTCCTATATGTTTGCTGCAAGAATAAGTAACAAGTAGTTGTCTCGATTAAAAATGATGTACTGATGATTTGATTTGGTGATTATTTATCACTCTTTTGTATACAAATAAGCGAAGGTGTACCTTAAGAGGTCGAGTTCACGTATGGCCTTGTATTGTATAGGGATTTCCATTAGTGCAGCCAGGGCAAACTTTTCTTCCTTCTCCGGCAGGTCAACATTACTTGACATGATTTCTGTGAAGTTCACAAACTGCATTTTTCACCACCACCAACTATTATTTTATTATTTGGCAGAAAAAAAAAAAATTGTTCTTCCATGGATTGTTGGTCTCAAGAATTAAATTTTCTAACCTGAATATTGTCGAAAGCCCGTATTGGAATATTATCATCGAACTCGATCAATTTATCCCACGGCCCGTCTCCAACTCCAACAAAGATTATCGACAACGGGTATTTGCTGCAAAATATAAAACATAAAACAAATCAAGAAAGTGTTTTTACTAAAACAAAAAAATTATTGCATAAAAACAAGTCCAGAGTTTTACCTTGCTTCGACAATTGCGTTAACCGTGCTTTGCTCTTGAGGGCTTAGCTTCCCTGCTTCAGTATCCACACTTCGTGTCACCTTTCATAGCAAGTGATATCTTAAGTAGCAGAATCGATTTATCTTTTCGATTTTTTAAAGATAATTAATGAATTACCTGGCCATCAGCTATAATCAGAAGAATATGATATTGGCCACCACTTTGATCAACTATCCCAATAGCAGTTTCGATTATTGGTGCAAATGACGAAGGCCCTATTACACATTTTTGTTGCCAACATTAACAAACTTGATAATAAATAAATAAATAAATAAATAAATAAATAGAACCTGATAATTGAACATTTGGAACGATCTCTCTGTAACGAGAAAGCGCCTCCTCAAATCCATTACAGGGACGGCTGTCTGGATAAAAGCTGAACACATGTTGATCATTTGTACTAACTGCAGAATCAAATCCAAACCTTCATTAATTCATACCCTCTATATGCATACATACATACATATATACAGACATTGTAAAGCGCATACCATCACCGAAGCCAAAACAAGGGATTTGATTATCCTCATCATAAGACGAAAGCGTGCTTCCGATGATTTGAATCGCGTGTTCGTAGGGATTCAAAAGATTATTGTTCGCTTCATCATTATTATTATCAGTGATGTGATGAAGGCATCTCCCGCCGAAAGATTCCCTCCCCGATTGCTCATTGCTCTTTGTGAAGTCGATGCCTACTATCAGGTTCGACGAATCCCAACCATATTTCCTAAGAGCACTTTCAACCTTCAATACAACACAAAATATATTATCAAGGACTGAATTGAAATTTCTCAAAGTTTCATTTTTGGGGCTTATGAAAATTTCGGGGTTAATTTGTAATTTTTTTTTTTTTTTTTTTTGCTTAAAGGGTACTTTGGTACTTTGCCGGCTGAAGAGCTTCTTTTCCAGAGGCAGACAGTTTTCCGGCGGGAATAGAGATTGTTAGCTGGTTTGAATTTGATATTGAGGAGAAGATCGCCGAAGCAACTAGAAGAGATCCGATCAACGATTTGATTGAAATGTCGAAGAATTTGGAGGAATTAGGGCGATTAACGATCGGAAATCGCGGAAAGGAGCCGATGCAACACAGCGCATCACCTTCAAATCAACCGGCGGCGACGACGACGACGACACGAGGAAGAACTGAGGGAGGTAATACGTATACCATTATCATTTATAGGCATAATGAGAGTCCTTCTGGGATAGAATTTTCACGAAGGTCCAAAGCTTGAGTTTCCGCGTTTTAATGGGGGAAAACCCTAGGGTTTGGATCCGGAAATGTCAGAAGTATTTCTGCATGAATAAGATGGCTGATCACACGAGAAGATTGAATGTGCTGCCATGTATATTGGAAGGCAAGTATGATAACTGGTACTTACACTATTTTGAAGGCAGAGATCCAATTGATTGGTAACTTCTGAATCGAAGATTTTGGGGTTGACCTCCGTGAAGATGGTGGCCCACTAGAAGATGATGAATTGGGAAGAGAAGGTGGGGGTGGGTAACACCACTGAAAGGGAAGATCTCAAATGGCACCGCCGGAATTTGACTGCTCCGGCGAGGGCACCGTTTATTTCTCCGGCAAAGACGGATAGTTGCTTCTACAGATCACGAATTTGCGAGATATATGGGGTGGAGGAAGAAGGTATATTTAGATAGAATCAAAATTTAATTAACATAGTTTCTTTCATTTTGTCTGTCAAGATTCAAATCTGGCTTAAGGGACGGTGTAGTATATAAAACAGGGGATCTTTGCTAATTAGAGATTACTAATTAACTAATGTGAGTTAACCAAATGATGAAACTCGTTTATTACCTGATCCAGAGAAGTATAGTTGTCCCCAATTCTTGTATATCCAGCCTCTGTGTCAGAACCAAAGTTACTGTCAGCGGAATTATAATCTTCCGATTCTTCGCTCAGTTTTTCTCCCACCTCCTTGCTCTTTTTTGCTCCCATCTCGCATTACTTGTCTTGTCTCGATCATAAACGCTAAAAAAAGAAACTAGCACTTGTTCACAAGCTGCTCATCTGTTAACATGTTAACAAACAGTGTATTAGATAAAATTTTCAGACCAAGAATTTTTCGTAAGTATATATCTGTAAAAAAAGATATTAGAATGTCTCTTACATGAATCAGGGATGTGTAATACTAGAGTCATTTTTGCTAACCTAAAACGAAAGAATGAATCTTAGGGAGAGGTAGTTGAGGCCAAGTGGCCAACAATTAATTATAATAAGAATCAAGGAAAACCAACTATTATCAAGACTTAATCAACATATTAATTTTTTTTCTTTTATTTTTGGTTAACAAAGAAACTTCAGTCACACGTAAATTTCGATAGAGTAATTAGTTGCAGCATCACATCAGTATATCCTTATGAATTTAATTGACTCTTATATCATCAAAATAATTAATCGGTCGACTATAAGATAACATCACTTGGTCTCGAATCAGTTTTGAGCATTGTTTTATTTCTCTTTGCGTGAAACCTTATTTTTACTTATCTCTTCTGCCTAAGAGCAAGTTGACTATGTTCCGTAGAATGTCAACATCATTAGAATGAATCAAAACTAAATTACTTTCAAATTTTTTTTTGGTAGTTTTATTTAGTGTTTTGGCAATTTCCTACTCCGTGCAGAAGTCAACTTGTACTGGGCCATTGCCTGTACCCCCAAAGATCGAGCCTAACATTATCGATGTGCTCATATCCTTGTGCTCGAAAAAGTAACGGAGGAATAGAGATGTTCATATCCTTGTGCTCGAAATTGATTTGGAACTGAATCATATTATCTACTTATCTTATAGTTGGGCAATGATTAGTGATTTGATAACCTAACATTCCAGTGAACTAATATTGATTTACTAATACAACTAATTTTTAATCTCTTCTCTCAATTAGTTTCTACACGGTTTCTTGTAGACGAAGATTTTTTTTTAAAAATGATTTGTTGAGTGTGATGTTTGTGAAAGAAAAGTAGTAACTGGGAAAAAGTCAGCTGAAATTTATGAACCAATTCTCGACAATATCTTGTAAAAGCTGACCCTTGATGTATAAAAATGGCTGCTTTAATAAACATTTTAGTTTCTTATTGCTATTAGTTGTTTGCCTTAACTATCACCTCCCCACTGCCAGGATTCATTCTCTCGTTTCAGTTTTCTTCTGTTCCTTAATATTTACGAATTATTACGACAAGTAAAGACTATATTGAGAGGTGACATGGGAGGAAAACAGAGCAAAGATGGAAGTTATGTTCGTAGGAATCCGTCTAGTCGTATATCTCAGTCGGGTTCTTCAAATTACGGTGAAAGTAGCTTCAGTGCTGGGGCTGGGAGAAGAAGGGAGATGCATTCCGAATTTGGATTCATCGGGGACAACTATAGGTCTCTGGACCAGGTGATTTTCATTTGGTCAAAACCTTATATTCGTGATAGATCCTAAGTTTCTCTTCTCTTTTTGGTGCATCTGATGTATACTATGATGCTTTAATTTATGTTGTACGAATATTTTACGGATTGTTTAGGTGAGAAAGGCTCTTTTGGATGCTGGTTTGGAGTCATCGAACCTTATTGTGGGGATTGACTTCACAAAGAGCAATGAACATGCAGGGAAAAACTCGTTCAATGGGAAAAGCCTGCACCACATCAGTGAAATATTGAACCCGTATGAACACGCAATCTCAATCATAGGAAGGACACTTTCGCCTTATGATGAGGATAATCTTATACCTTGTTTTGGCTTTGGTGATGGTATGTGATGACTGATGACTATATATAGATATATTTGTCTACGAATTTTAGAAACTTGTAAGAATGTTTCTTTGGATTTGATGTTGCAGTTAGCACTCATGATCAAGATGTGTTCAGCTTTTATCAAGGCAACAGGCCTTGTAATGGATTTGGGGAGGCACTTTCTCGTTACAAAGAGATTGTTCCAAATGTTCGTCTAGCAGGTTTGTCCTTTTTTTTTTTCTTGTCTGAATTGGTTTGTGAAAAAGTTTATAAAATGTTGGCATGATCTGTTCAAGAAAATCTTCTTCTGTGAATTGTGTAATAGGGCCTACATCGTTTGCCCCAATAATTGAAACTGCTATTGGGATAGTTGATCAAAGTGGTGGCCAATATCATGTTCTTCTGATTATAGCTGATGGCCAGGTAATTCATTATTTTTTCAAACTAAAAAAATAAATTTCAATTCGACCCATTAAATTTTCAATTTCTTCCAAAAAAGGTGACACGAAGTGTCGACACCAAAGCCGGGAAGCTAAGTCCTCAAGAGCAAAGCACGGTTAACGCAATTGTCAAAGCAAGGTTTCTTACATACAAAACTTGGACTTCTTTTTTATGCAACAGATTTGGTTCGAGTTAATAGAGAGTAATAAAGGACACCTTTTTTCATTTGCTTATGTATATATTTTTCAGCAAATACGCGTTGTCCATAATTGTGGTTGGAGTTGGTGACGGGCCGTGGGACATGATGCATGAGTTTGATGATAATATTCCAGCCAGAGATTTCGACAATATTCAGGTAACAAAATCCAATTCTTGAAACCAAGAATCCAGCAATAAATATAAGTGTTATATATAATAATACGTGGTGGAAAAATGCAGTTTGTGAACTTCACAGAAATCATGTCAAGAAATGTGCCACTTTCCCAGAAGGAAACGGAGTTTGCCCTGGCTGCACTAATGGAGATCCCTTTACAATACAGGGCAACACTCGAACTCCACCTCTTGGGGTATATAAAATAACCTTCATATAAGATTGATAATCATCAAATTAGCATAAATTTTCATTCACTTTCGCGTTTTTTTTTTGTCGTGCAGCAAGCAGATAGGAAACAGCACAGTGGTTCCACTACCACCTCCAACTAGCCGAAACCCGAGACCACAAAACATGCACCCATATCAAGCACGAAATATGAGGTCGCCAAATCCTTACTCCAACTCGTCACGTTTTCCCAGCTTTGCTTCATCCCGTCCATCGTCTCCCAGCCCTTCAGAAGGATCTTCAAGTAATAGGGTACATTTTCTTGTACTTCCCCTCCACGACAGTGAATTATGTCGGGTTTTTTTACCATGCAGTTTCTTTCCATTAGTAATGTGTTTTTTTACCATTCATGCCGTATGAGTTTGTATTTTCTTGATTTTGCTGACAATAAGTTGCGTGACGCTCCTCATCAGAATTGCCCTGTTTGTGAATGGAGTAAACGAGATCTTGTACTTGGATGTGGACATCAGGTAAATACATACATACACATATATGTATATATATATGCACAGAAGTGTGAATTTTCTTGGAAGGTGGCATTTCTGTCGATTGATCGCTTTTTTTTTTCTAATACTTCGGATACACATTGTTTGTTTGCAGACGTGCAGTGAGTGCGGTCATGATCTCGTCTGGTGCCCTATTTGTCGAACAGAGATAACCAACAGGATAAGGCTTTATGACTAAAAAAACACTAGTAACTGAAGCCACTGCTCAAAGTCAAGGTATCAAGATTTGGCTGCTTGTTTCCCTAAACCAAAATGTTTGTATTTTCTGACGCTTGTCTTTGGAAATGTACTGAACATATATTGTTTGTTTGCAGCACTTTCATTTTTACACTGAAAATCCAAATAAATATATACTGTTTTTCCAGATCACATGTTTCACAACTCAATGTCATCCGTTTGTTCTTTTTCTGCAAAATGATTGTAGATCTTTTTTTTTTTTTTTGCTTTTTTCTTTTGGGTAAATTACGGCCAACCCCTGAGGTAAGGTCAAATTACAGAAATCCCTTCATGTTTGGGTAATTGCAACCACCCTCAACTATGAATCTTCTTACACGTCTACCCTTGCGGTGTCAAATTTAGTGAAATCTACTCGATTATGTGGAATACTCTCCAATTTGTACCCGTTTTATCCAATTCGAGCTCCACATTTTAAAACAAGATAACCATAAGATGTGTCTCTTAGCTCCTAAATATTATATTGTGGTGCATCATGAATTGCATTTTTGCACAAAACTAATACAAAGTAGAGAACATTTCACGGAATCTCTATTAAATTTGCACCATAAGAATAGACGTGTAAGAAGATTTGTAACTCAGCGGTGCCAATAATTTAAACTTTTTTTATTGTTGTGGTTCAAAAGTCATATCCTTTAAAGGTGTTACTAAAATCCAATGAATGTAATAAAACTTGGAAATACAGACAATGTGGGAAGTATATAAATAGCAAATAAACAAAGTCATGTAATACTCCAAAAGCACAGTGCAAAATAAGATTCACAGGTAGACTGACTCCAGTTTGTCTAGTGGTTGACTTTAGAGTGTATTCAGTCAAATTAAACAGCCAGTGGAAATCTCACCACCTCAGTATCTGTCCTTTTTTCATGACAATAGACATTTTCTCCATATAAATAGGACCAAATGAAAGAGAATGTTTTATCTTATCAAACCTGCATTTGCTACAAACAAGTTTAAAAAAAATGTTGAGAAATAAAGCTTTGTTCATCTCTCTGACATGGCTACTACTAGTCGCTTACTTCGCCACATGTTCGTATGGAGCTACATCGAAACCCAGCAAACACGTTGTGTACCCCCAAGGTAGTGTCTTTTTTTTCCTCGAAAAAATAAGTTACATTTCTTGCTTATGAAATTGCGATATATTTTTTTTTTGAAGAAGAAGAATGCTCTGTTAATTGAGCTGTGTATCTTTGAATGTGAAGGTTGCCGCTGCTGCATGTTTGATTTCTCGAAGCCGTTGATCTCTTGTGCTAGAGTTTGCTGTGGGCAGAATTGCTGTTAGACCACCTCACAACAGCTACCACAATGTCCAAAGCAAAAATTCTTGAAAACCGAGGTTGTAGTTTTTCGAGTATCCAAATAAAAATTTCTGAAATGTTTTCCCTTGTTTTTCTCTATGTTGTTCTCAAAAAATCAAATGAATGATATTCCTGATCATCACAGCATTACCAATCATTAGCCGCCGTGTAATAAATATTTCAATATATATATATTGAAAACGGTACAGAATCTCCGAAACTTTCGCTTATAACTAACTCCACAAGAAGAGCAAACCAATAAACCCGAAACAATTTCTAAGACTAACACACCTATAAGTTGTAATGATATCTCTGTGCAGTATTTTTTCACCTTTTTTGATCCTTTCGAATCAGAACCCTGGAAATCCCCCTTTCAAAAACCTCTAAATTATACGATAAACAAGCAAACCCCCCCAAAAAATGATTAACGAGAGTATACTCCCGCCACCGTTAAAACGAAACCCTAAAGATTTCACATCCGTAACTCCGACAAGAAATCTGCAATCACCCACAGAAGGATCCAAGAAAGTGACGAGACCAAGCCCATCAAATTCGCAGCTCCTTGGATTCTGTTTCTGCAACTGATAGTAACTATTGAAAGCGTACGACACATTCCCCTTCTCCCCAATACCATTACAAGATCCACCATAGCTAAGTGTAGTGCAATCGGCGTAACTACACGCGAGTTTGAAGTGATCCTCCACGGCAGAAAGATCTCTCGTAGGATTCGCCACACACCATCTCGAAGGGAGATAACCAACTTCTCTCGCATTTTTCAACATCCCATTTCCAAGATTCAACGGATATTTCGCCTGCCCGTCGAACGAGAATATTCCCCAATGCCTCTCGAAGTTCCCGGGAAGGACGCTTTTGCCCCCCTCGTCAAAAAGACTGAAAAGATAGACATCCATGGGGGGTACACCTGGCCTTAGAGGTGTCCCTTTGTTGCTTAAAACACTTCTCACGAGACCCTGATTGAAAGACTTTGCGGCAGTGAGATTAGCACTCGGCGCACCGTCTGTGGGCCAGCCCACCTCCCCCACAACAATCGGCATCTGTGGGAATCCGAGTTTCCCGAGTGCTGCGACTAAAGTGTCGAAATTTCCATCGAACGCGTTGTAGTAAACATTCGGCCCGTCTGTAACCGCATGCGCTGTGCCGTTGAAAAAAGCGTAGTCTTGAGGGAAATCGGAGTTTGCGTAGAGGCTCAAAAAGGGATAGATGTTGACCACGAAAGGGGCATTGTTTGAATTAAGGAAAGAAACGAGCTGTGTGATGATTTCAGTGAGATCGGTTCGGAAGGTTCCTTGCGAAGGTAGAGAAGATTCGTAGGCATCGGCATTGCAGGGTACAACGAGCTTTACCGCGCCAGCAAGATTTGCTTTTGCAAGAGATTGTTGTAAATTCATTAGAGCAGGTATAACGTACGGTTGAAATTGACCCGAGTAGCTACTCAGAAATGGTTCGTTTCCCACAGCAACAAACCTGCAATATTTGCAGAGAGTTAATTTTTAAGCCATAATTCACGCATGAATACTTCATTAAACATAGCAAGTCCCAACTAAAAACGAGCCGACGTGCACAAACCGAGATATCCGATCTTCCAATTCAATCGAGAACTGAGCAGAATCAGCTCTAATTAGAATCCGGGTAGGGTTTTTTTCGCTTGATTGAATATCGAAAAAATATATGCACAACCAAAACTAGCTACTTCCCAAATTCTTGACTCATTATTATAAACATAATATTAAAATTACTAACAACATTAATCAAGCCAAGAAAGATCAGTTCTTTCTCTTATTAACAAATCAAAATTCAAAAACCCACAAATGTAAAAATAATTAGTATATAAATAAACCAAGTATCAAGATCAAAATATACCCTACATTTAAAAAAAAAAACAAAAAAAATATAAAAATAAAAAGAAAATTGAAAGAAGCGTAAATGTGAAAATAATTAGTATAAATTAACCAAGCATCAAGATCAAAATACAACCCACATTTAAAAAAAAAATCAAAAAAAAAAAAAAAAAAAAAAAAGTTGAAAGAAGAAGCATACTTGATATGAACACCGCGTTTAACCATATATCTGGAAACATTGAGAGAAACCCACAAATCAGAAGCGGAAGGAGAAGTGCTAAGCAGAGACAGCATTTCGTTAGGGATTCCAACCATCACTTCAATTCCACTTCCCATTAGCGCCTTCATCACTGTCGGATCGGCATCGAAGAGCTTCACTTTCGCTATATTGTTGTCCTTCAGGAGATCCACCACCGTGTCCGGCGCGAGGCGGTGGAGCGCCACCGTGCCCCAGTTAACGCCAATACCTGATTCAACCACCACCACCGACGACACTGAAACACAGAGTAGGAGGCGCAGGATTTTGCTTGAAAGATGGGCTGTTGCCATTTTCATTGGAAATAATGGATAAACGGTTTGTTCATTGATTGGAAGGCGGTGGGTGGGAACGCCGAGTTGAGAGGGGTTTCAGGCTTTTTCAGTGACAAAAATAGAGCCACTGTAAATTCGAATTTTATTTATTAAAATAATCAAAAATAAAATGAGATCCTTTTTATTTATTTTATAATTATATAAGAAAATAAGACAATTATGTGTAATTTACGGTTCAAATTCATGCAATGTACGGCCAACTGTTTGCTATTTTTGCCAAAGAAAATGACGATTTAGTTTTTGATAAAGATCGAAGCTTTTCTTTTTTCTTTTTTTTATTGTAAAGATGTTGATAATTAATTGACGATTTAGCCAGCAGTGATTAAAGACGAACACAAACCCTATCAAGCACAATGGATTATGTGGTAAAGACGAACACTAACCCTATCAATCACAATGTATTATGTGGTGTATGCTGCTGATATTACAAGCATAAGAGGGTTATCTGCAAAGGTCCATAACCACATAATGGTTCAGTGCTATTTACCCAAAGAATTACGAAAATTATTAAGTAGTAACCATAAAAGGCAAATAAACATAAACAAATATAATATCACATGCAACCCATCAACTTATGGAATATTCAATTATTCATCCTCCAACACTTATTGGCATTTCTTCCTTTTAGTCTTTTACCATACATAAAAAACTTTTGTGGATTAACTTTTTTGCTTTTCGCACTAATTTCGTTTTTTCATATGCAATTAAAAAAAAAAAAAAAAAAAAAAAAAAAGAGTTTGGGCCTCTAAGTAGTCTGAAAATCAGGCTGATTGGTAATAGATCTAACCCAAGCCCACTTGTGATCCCTCGTATTAACTACATTCTTGGCTCTCGCCACCTCATCCACCGGAATATACCCATAGTTCCCGTTGATCGGACCACATACAAACCCTGTATACCCACCCATCGCCCCATGAATCGCCGAGTGCGCCAACAGCGTGCAGTACATATTATCCGTTGCGTTCGCCGGAACGGCGCGTATCATGTACGTCGGATCAATGTACTTCACCGTGAAAAGCTCCCCCGGGTGGTCCCTATCCCACCACCTCTTCAGCTCCGACTTCAGCCACCCGCCCACGTCCGAAAATACCGGGTTACCCGATTCGTCCTTCTCCTGCACGTGCGACCCGTGATCGGTTTTCGGTATGATGTCCTGGCCGGCGCCCTCCGCCACCACCACCACCGCGTGGCCGTTTTCTTTCAGCCCGTTTGCCGAGGAAATCGACAGCCCGTTCTCGCCTTCCAGGTAGAAGTCGTTCTCCGGTATCAAACAGCAGTCCACGTCACGGCTGCTCAGGGTGGCGTGGAGGGCGATGTGGCCGGTGCTCCGCCCCATGAGCTTCACCAGGCCGATTCCGTTGACGGCGCTCTCCGCTTCCGTGTGAGCTGCGTTGATGGCTTGCTGAGCCATCTCCACCGCCGTTTGGAACCCGAAAGACCTGTCGATGATGCCGACGTCGTTGTCCACCGTCTTCGGGATTCCGGCGACGGCGATGTTCAATCTACGGCGTTTGATCTCGTTGAATATCTCCACCATCCCGCGCATAGTGCCATCGCCGCCGACGATGTATATCTGTATTAATTATTATTAAATAAATCCAAATAATTAAAGGGTAAATTACGCAAAAACCACTGAACTGAAGGTAAATAACGAAAAACACCTCACCTACTCATAATTACCAAAAAAAAACCCTCAGATTTAATTTGTTTCCGTCAGTACAATGTGAGTTTTCACGAATTTTTCTTTGATTTTAGAAAATAGACTTTATAATAGATTGTACACAATTTCTGTTAAAAAACTCGATCAATCAACAATTAAAAAGAGGGGATTTCGGTCACTACGAATAAATGGGGTGTTTAATGTTATATATCCTAAGTTAAGGGGTTTTTCATAATTAAATAGCTAGCACGAAAATTGAAAGGGAAATGGAAATGACTAAAATAACCTGGTTGAAACCACGATCCTGAATAGAGTTGACGATCTTGTCCAAATGGAACCCACCTCTGGAAGTTTCGAGAACCGTGCCGCCCATTTTGTGCCAGCCGTGAACTATCTTAGGGTTCAACGCCTCGGGTTGACCCGAATAAAACCCCCGGTACCCGGCCCGTATCCCGAAGATCTCGCGCACGCCGTACAGCTCCCACAGGCCCACCACCAGCTCCCTGATCACCGTGTTCATCCCGGGGCAGAGGCCCCCACACGTCACTATGGCGGCCCTGACGACGGCCGGGTCGAAGTATACCCACTTCCTCGGCCCGGCCCGGTGGTAAGCCGGGTGGGGCCCCGGTGAAGGGATGTCGGAGAGATCGTGGAGGATGTGGCGCAGTATGACGTCAGAGGGGGTGATGTAGAACTCGGATACGGGGTGGAAAAACGGGTTGTTGTCTAGCGGGTTCGGGTGGGTTTTGAGATCGGGTAGGTAGTCTTTCAGGTGCGGCAGGCGGTGCAGCTTGATGTTTGGGATTGTCAGGCTGCCTTCTTCCGTGCGGCGGTCTTCGCCGGCGCCGGCAGCATTGTCCATCGGGAACGCCATAGCTAAATCGGTGTCCTGCTTAATTTTCAGTTGATCGGTGTGTGAAGTGAAGCAAAAACCATGTGTATTGCTACTGCCATTTTCTTATATCAACGTGGAACGGGTGACACGTGGGTACCACGTGGTGAGCTTTTGGAGGGTGACTAACCACTGGAAATTGGATCTTTGATATGGGCTGGAATCATATTTGGGCCATCCTTACTACCCAATGTTGGATTCTAGTTCTAATTTTTTTTTTTTTTTTTGAGTAAATTCAAGTCCATTACAAGGGGAAGTAGGGGAGGGGGGACTTGAACCCTAGACCTTTACCCTACTGGTAAAAACGAGGGTTGGTATTCTAGTTCTAATTAAAAAAAGGGATAAAATATATATTTAATTAATTTTTAGGGCAAAGTACGAGTACTACTGGGATAAGGTCAAATTACGAAAAATCATCTCTTATTTGGGTAATTATGACCACCACATCAACGATGTACTGTCTTATGAAAAGATACCTCATTCAGTATGTAAATTTGATAGCGTAAAAATTAACATGTAAGACGATAAGAGTGGTTGAAATTAACGATTTTTTTCGTAATTTGACCTTGCTTCATGGATGACTTTAGTAACTAATTTTTCAATGACATACCATAACTTAACTACCACAGAAAGGAAAACAATGTCCACGAAGTAAGGTGGGGGTGGTGTGACATGTGGTTGTTGCAAAAGAAAGAGCAACTAAAGTGATGGGAATATTATATTTGTTCAATTCCATTTATGAGAAGATCACCTTTAATTGAAATTAACTATATATTATAAAAGAGAAAATTGCCCTAAGTGAGAGCAATATAGATGGATGATAATTGTAATAAAGAATATATTCTTTTATTTTGTTTCAATCAATTTTAAACTAATTTTGTATTCAAATTAAGGTCAATTTCATCTTCTTTTTTTTCTAAGTGCACTTTTTGAATAAACGTCAATATTATTAATTACCAAAAAAATAGTACAAAAAACAAAAGGTAACTGATTTTATTTTATTTTATTGACTTTTTCGACTTCCCCTTCAATTCAACTCCAACCGAAAAATAGATAAAAAAAATATATATTCTCCACTACCCATTTTTTTCCCTTTTTTTAATTTTATTTTCTTTTTGTATCTATATATAATATATGAATATTTGACAAATAATTGAGATAAATTCACTCCATTTCTCATCTTCTAACCATTGTACTTAAATCACATTCTCTTCATCTTTTATCTGGAGTCGATCGACTCTTCGAATATGAAGGTCCAGAAATCGAACTACTCGAGTTTCGTTTAATTCTCTTTGTGGTTTCGTATTATCAATATTAGTTAATTATGAATTTCCCTTTTCTATTATATATTATTTATTTTATTTATTTATGTATTTACATGCAGCAAAGAATCGTGTTTCGAGTACAACTACCTTGCTCGAAATGCCCCAAAAAAGCATTGAAGATTGCCGCCGAAGCCAACGGTTAGTACAACATATGCATGCAACTGATGCTCTCATATTGTGCATGTGTCTCTAAATTTATATTTTTTGTTACAATTAAATTCCAATTTAGTTAGAACTTTTGTTATAGGGGTGGATTCCATTGCAGTAGAGGGGCAGCAGAGAAATGAAATCGTTGTGGTCGGAAATAATATCGATATAATCAAGCTCGCTGCTCGACTGAGGAGGAAGATCGGTTGTACGGACGTTGTTACTGTTTCCCAACTCCAAGCATAATTACACAATTAATTGAGAAAAAAAAGGAAGCTGGGATTTAGTTTAGTTTAATTTAATTTAATTTAATTCAAATTTAAATTTATGTGATGGAAATAAAATGATTGTAGATATTTTCTACTCTCTCTTTTTTTCTTGTAAAAATGAACTAATTAGTATACTCATGTTAATTAATTACCCAATTTGCTATAAATTAAGTCACATTTCCTTTTAATTTATTATTTTCCAAAGATTTTTGTTTTTCCTTAATTAATTAAGGTACTTGGGGTGATTGCCGGAGTGGTATCGGGGTGAGGAAGGTAAATTTAGGTCAAGGGTACTATTTCCTTTGGATTCAGTTCGGTTAAAATCCAACGAGTGTAAATAACGAGGTTAATTAAATGAAATTGTAAAGATTTGTAGGGTAATTATTATTATTATTATTAATTTAAATAGCTAAGTAGTGAGTTGTATAGTTTTCTCATTAATTGGTCACTCTTGTATAAATTAGAATGTGATCATATATAATTTGTAGTCATTTGAAATAAATTTATAGCTAAAAAAGAAGTACTGTACATTGGGAATTTTTCTTTATTTTGCACCAAAAGGCGAATCCCTCGCCCCAAGGGCCCCCATCCCTTGGCCCGATAAGGATTGATGGAGGATGTAAATCATGGTAACTCAACGACCCGGTAGCGGACCCGGACCTGGTGCCCACAAGGAACCACACTGCCCAGGATTCGATCCTAGGACCTTGCACCAACTTACCACCTCCGGAACCAGTTGAGCTACACCCATAGTATAAGAAATAGTGGATGATATCTTCATTCTATTCAAGAGAATATTTTTTTCAAAAAAAAAAAAGAAATATATATCTTATTTCGAAATATTTCCAAAAATAAAGGTAATAATAAGTTTTGGACAAAAATCAAAAGAGAATATATATACATCCTCTTACAAATATGAAATTAGTTGCACATTGCCCCCAATAGCCATTTCTTTATAAAAAACCGATTGTTTAAAAAGGACATTTTCGTCACTTAAGAACATGCTTATCAATTGTTTTATTTTATGACGGGAAAAAAGAATATTACGTGTAAATGTATACAGATATCACGGGATTGAATGATGATCTAATTTGTGATTGTTGCAATTTTTCATGTATGTACGTAAAATATGTAACTGATCCCCCTTAATTATATTTGAATTGTAACCAATCACACATATATACACAAATATTAAATTCTAATTTTTTTTTCTTAAAAAAACAAATAAATAAAATTCTGAATTAATTAAGTTGCGTAACCGAAAAATAAACATTTAAATTTTTTTTTTTTAAATTTAAAATAACTCAAGAGAATGATGATTAGTAGGGCAAAGGAAAATTTTGACAAGAATGAATCTGATCACCCATAAATTATGAATGTTGAAAAAATGTAATAAAATATGATTTAAATCCAATGAATTCAATTAAATGACGATTATAAGTCAAAGATTAATTAACCATATAACAAAGATTATATATGTATGTGCATGCAATTAGTGCAAAAATAAACATAATCCCATCCCCACAAAAACGCAGTTTGTTATCCAAAATTAAAGAAAAAATCGCATTGCATGAATCTCTCACTAATCGGTTAAGTTTTGATATAGTTCAGAGAATATCTTTTCATTAGGGTTTCCTTCATTAATTAATCGTCTCTCTTCTTCTCCTTCTTCATATATATATATAATTATTGATAAGCACAATAATAATAAAATATATAAAGTATACATATATATTAAAACCACTTACCACTGAAGAAAACAAGAAATTATTAAAGAAGAAAAGCAGATATGCTTTCAGTTTTTCTTTCACTATTGATTCTTTTTGGTGTACTCCAACAACCAGCTTTAGCCTTTAAAAAGGTGCACATTGTCATTTACATATACACATTTTATATATGTATAGTTGTAATAATAATGAAATTAATTAATAATGTTTAAAATTGAAAGGTGCAGTCTTACATTGTATACTTGGGAGGACACTCTCATGGCGCCGATGTCACTAGTGCCGATCTTCGTCGAGTTGCCGATTCCCACACTCAGTTGCTTGCCTCCTTCTTGGGAAGGTACATTCTGCATTTTTCATAATTTTTATTTATTGAATCAATCTTGATAATAATAATATATAATAAGAATAATTAATGGGATCTTATAATTGCTTATATATATATTTTCTTGCTTCAATTTATAATTAATTAAACAGCGAAGAGAAGGCGAAAGACGCAATATTTTACTCGTACAAGAGACACATAAATGGATTTGCTGCTCTTCTTGAAGACGAAGAGGCTGCCAGAATTGCAGGTAATTAAGTAGTACCATGATTATTAATTAATTGCATTATATTCATGCACATTTTTTTTTTGGTCTTTTTTTTTTGGTAAGTATATATTTATTATTTATTTAAATTGCAGAGCATCCGGATGTGGCGTCGGTGTTCTTGACATCAGGGGAGAAAATTGCACACAACACACTCTTGGGATTTTCTTATGCTTGAAAATGAAGGTGTGATTCCCTCCTCTTCATTATGGAATAAAGCTAGATTCGGCCAAGATACCATCATTGCTAATCTCGATACCGGTAATTCATTTCATTTAATTTAATTAAAATCATGAATCTCTTGTTAATTATATATATGATTTTATAAAATTTATAAAATCGAAAGAAAAAAAAATATGATTTAATTATCGGCTGTCTACAAAGGTGTTTGGCCCGAATCGAAAAGCTTTAGTGGCAAAGGGTTTGGCCCCATTCCCTCAAAGTGGAAAGGAATCTGTCAGTTTGATCACAAAGAAGGCCCCCTTTGCAACAGGTTTATTTTAATTAATTAATTAATTAATTACAAATTTAATTAAATAATTACATAATTACATGTTTATCTAATCATTAATTTTTTTTAACAGGAAACTAATTGGAGCAAGGTACTACAACAAAGGCTACGCCGCCTACGCCGGCGTACCACTCAACTCCACGTACAACACACCTCGCGACGTCGACGGACACGGGACCCACACACTGTCCACAGCCGCCGGCAACTTCGTTGCTGGCGCCAACGTGTTCGGTTTCGGCAACGGAACAGCGAAGGGCGGGTCCCCCAGGGCCCGCGTGGCTGCATACAGGGTGTGCTATCCGAAGATGAACGAGAGCAGCGGCGAGTGCTACGATGCCGACATCATGAAGGGATTCGACGCCGCGATTGCCGACGGCGTCGGCGTGCTGTCCGTCTCCCTCGGCTCAGATTCGGTGGACTACATCAACGACGGCACCGCCATTGGCGCCTTCCACGCCGTGAAAAATGGGATCGTTGTCGTCGCATCTGCCGGGAATTCGGGCCCCACCCCGGGGTCCGTTGAGAATGTGGCCCCGTGGTTTATTACCGTTGGTGCTAGTACTCTCGATCGCAAGTTCCAAGCTAACGTCCAGTTGAAAAATGGATCGATTTTTCAGGTTACTATTATTTTGGTAATAAAAAATATATAATTTTATATAAATTTTTAATTTAATTTTTGTAAATAATAGGGGATGAGTCTTTCGAAACCATTGCCGGAGGATAAAATGTATACCCTAATCAGTGCGGCCGAAGCTAGAGCTGCGGATGTATCCGAGGAGGACGCGTAAGGAATTAGATTTTTTGATGATCATTTTGATTTGATTTTGCAATTATTATTATTAATTATTTTGTTTTTGCAGGATACTATGCAAGGAAAAGACCTTGGATTCGAAGAAAGCCAAGGGCAAAATAGTAGTTTGCCTAAGGGGCGAAAATGCGCGGTTGGAGAAAGGGGAGGAGGCGCTTCGTGCAGGTGCAGCCGGAATGATTCTGTGCAACGACGAGTCTAGCGGCAACGAACTCATCGCCGACGCGCATATTCTTCCGGCGACTCAACTCAATTACACCGATGGCCTTATCGTCTTTTCCTATCTCAAAAACACAAAGTATGTCACTTAATTCTTATCATTTTGCAATTCAATATAAATAAATTGTTACCCAAAATTAATTAGTGAATTTCTATTTTCAGAAACCCACAGGGGCTGATTACAGAACCAAAGTCGGTGCTGAACGTAAAGCCCGCCCCGTTTATGGCATCGTTCTCATCCCGGGGCCCGAATGCAATTACCCCTGCAATTCTCAAGCCCGATATTACAGCTCCGGGAGTGAACATAATGGCAGCTTACAGCGAAAGCACGAGCCCGACGGAAGTACCCTCCGACAAGCGAACGACGCCGTTCTACATCGAATCCGGCACATCAATGGCGTGCCCCCACGTGTCCGGCGTGGCCGGCCTGCTCAAAACCCTACACCCTGACTGGAGCCCCGGCGCGATCCGATCGGCGATCATGACCACGGCGAGGACGAGGGATAACACGGGGAGCCCAATGAAGGACGCCGATTACCAGAAGGCAACCCCGTTCATGTACGGATCGGGCCATATCCGGCCCAATCGGGCCATGAATCCGGGCCTGGTCTACGATTTGACCGTCAACGACTACCTCGACTTTCTGTGCGGCATCGGGTACAATTCCACCATGGTCGGCCAATTCGCCGGCGCGTACTACGACTGCCCGAACAACTACAATATTCTCAACTTCAACAACCCGTCGATCAGCGTCCCGGATCTGACCCGATCCGTTGTGGTGACTCGGAAATTGAAGAACGTCGGCAAACCTGGAACCTACGCTGCTCGTATACGTTCGCCGCCTGGTTATTCCGTCACCGTTAAACCGAATCTTCTGAAATTTGAGAAAATTGGGGAAGAGAAGAGCTTTAAATTGAGTATTAAAGTAAACGGAAGAAGAGGGGCAAAATCGGTATTTCAGTTCGGGGAATTGTTGTGGTCTGACGGCAAACATTACGTGAGGAGCCCAATAGTTGTTGCATCCCCTAATCAATGAAACATAAACCCTAATTTTATTATTAGTATTTTAATCGCAGGTTTATTTTCCGTTTAATTTTTTTTATTGGGTGGTAATATATTTTATGCAAGGATTAATGTAATTATTTTATTTCTTTTTCTTGCACTATTATTATTCTCATTTAAAATTCTTTTTTGAGGAAATAATTGAAAATTACTAGAAATATAATAAATATATAATAAATAGAAATTAGTAAAGAATATTCGTTTTTGGGCCTACTAAATATTGCTTCGCTGGTATGATCTGGATCAATCGACAATAATGTTTGAGCCCACATCTTTTTAATTATTAAATGAAAATTATTATTCTGCAAATCATGCCACCTACAACTATTTCGTAATTATTATTTTTTAATCATCTTCAATTTTTTCTCTGTGGAGAGTCGGCAATCGGAATTAGGGATTTTGCCGGCAATATGTCGTATGCGTATCTGTTCAAGTACATCATCATCGGAGACACTGGTAATTCTCGTTTCTCGATTTCATCCCTTTTCAAATTCCCGATCGTTTAATGCTGATTTAATTTTTTTTTTAGATCAGGGTTTGTTTGGGGGTTTGTTTAGTAGGATTTTGTTTATGGTATTCTTGTTTAGATTTCTTCTGCCTTTTGATTGCAGTTTGTAGAATGTAGACTGTAATGAATTATTATCAGTAGTCGCCGGAGAATTTCTGGGGAAAGAAAAAAAAAACAAGTCAATGATAAATCATCAGTGTAATTGAGCCGATAAAAATCGTATCTTTATGGGACTAAGCCCGTCTATCTGTCGAAAATATTGCAAGTTTGATGGAATGGGATTGATTTTAATGTAGATTATCCACCAATGTTTGAAAAAAAAATGTTATGTAACTAAATCGAAACGAAATCCCTTCATAATTTTTTGGAAATAATGAGTTTGTTTTGCAGGGGTGGGAAAATCATGCCTTCTTCTTCAATTTACCGACAAGCGTTTCCAGCCAGTGCATGACTTGACTATTGGAGTCGAGTTTGGGGCGAGGATGATCACAATTGACAACAAGCCCATTAAGCTTCAAATATGGGACACGGTTTGTTTTTCACTTTTCTAAACTAAAAAACAATATGTTTCATTATTTCGTGATAAACGACCGATATTCTAAATGAAAACTGGATTCTGATTGATGCTTACAGGCCGGTCAAGAATCGTTCAGATCCATCACTAGGTCGTACTACAGAGGTGCAGCTGGTGCACTTTTGGTGTATGATATCACGAGGTACTTACTGCCTTCTTATTTAATACAATGTTTCTCGGAAAGATTTGTGATTCTCTATAAATACAGCTCCTTCAAGACGTATACTTACCGCTACTAACTCACGTACAACCACTAAATTATGGATTTTTAACTGAAAGCGTATATTTTAGTTAAAGATTCACTCTTGACGATTGACATTATTTTTAGTGATCGATTTCTTTTTACTCAAGAAAGCTGTATCTTGTACTTGTCTGTTATTATACCTGTGATTATAAGATGTAAGAGATTACTAGGCCGAATTTTCTCCCAACTGTTCTTCATTGTACCCCGTTTCTAATTTGTCAGGAGGGAAACTTTTAATCACTTGGCTAGCTGGCTAGAAGATGCCAGGCAGCATGCAAATCCAAACATGTCGATTATGCTGATAGGCAACAAATGTGACCTTTCCCACAGAAGGGCTGTTAGCACAGAAGAAGGAGAACAATTTGCAAAAGAAAACGGACTCATTTTCATGGAAGCATCTGCAAAAACTGCACAGAATGTCGAGGAGGTGGTGGAATCGTTTCAATATAATTTGCTTTATCTGCTTCTACGATAGATATTTAAGTTTTCTCCTTTGTGTTTCATGCTTTATCTGCTTCTCATTTTCGCAACACATTATCTGCAGGCATTTATCAAAACTGCTGCGACAATATACAAGAAGATTCAAGATGGAGTCTTTGACGTTTCAAATGAGGTAAGACTTAGCCCCTTATATCTTCGTTCTTGGTCAAACAAATCTTGACCTGTTTGAGCACAGTGAAGTATCTTATTCCATATCACATATCATTTAAAGAAATTGATTATTTAATCTCACCAATGTTATAATTTTTGTTTCTTGGATTTGCAGTCGTACGGAATAAAAGTTGGGTACGGTGGAATTCAGGGTCCGTCTGGTGGCAGGGATGGTAATTCTTCACAAGGTGGAGGTTGTTGCAGTTAAGATTTGTGTGTAAGCAGCACAAAATGCTCAAACGCTATCTCTGCTCTGCTCTGCACACAGCTTGGGTTCGTTGAAACAATATTAAATTCGTGTATTTATTTGAATTTGTGGTCTCGTTTGTTCCGCTTGTCTGTAAATTTGACAATAGTGTCGTGGCTGTACAAAGGAGTGGAACGATGAGTTTGTGAGAAAAAAAAAACATACTTTTTTGCAAAGTTGGCAAACTTGGAAATAACAGTCAAATTGTGATGTATTTATTCTACATGTGTTGGTTTGTGGTTTTTGTCCACATGAGGAAACTCAATGTAATTATAGTGTACCTTTTTTCTTTAATGTAATGCATTTATTTATTTGTTGAGAGAAAAAAATAATTAATGGAGGTTTATTTCAAGGAAGCAGAGACACAAAATAAGCACTTCTTTAGGATCATATCAATTGTTATAGACCTAAACTTGCACACGAAATTTTTCCCCTAATAAACTCAATATATATATATATATATATATATATATATATATATATATATATATATATATATATATATATATATATATATATATATATATATATATATATATATGGTGGGATGGAAAGAGAAATGAATGGAGAGGGGGGAACTTGGCAAAAGGCGTGACGGATGGTGTGGATTTGTACGCATCTCTGCGTGTATATTTGTGTGTGGAAACGGTGTGTAATTAATTAATTAATAAATAAATTAGTTATGCATCTCTCTCAGTACTCAGCGTGATCTTCCATTTGAAGCAAAACAAAACCACTTGAAAGAAAGTTAGCCAAAAAGGTATTTCAAGATCCGTTTTTTAATTCTCCTAACTTTCGTTCATCCATCCATCACTCTTTCTCATTTACTTCAACGCAACTAAAATTGCTGTCATTTAAATCTATATATATATATATGTATTTAGCCAAAGTACACAACCAATTTCTTGAAAAGATTCGATTTTTTTCATCGTTGTCGATATTATATATATTTCTTCGTGTTTTAATTCAGATAGTAATATGGAGAGGGATAGCAAAAACAACCAGAACAAGAAGAAGAGAACAAGAGATAATCACGATGAATCGTGGCCCCACAAGAGCAAGAAACCGTTGGAAAGCGTCGTCGTCGTCGAAAATAATATTATTGATCAAGAAAAGCCCTGCTACGAATTCTGTGACAGCAGCAGTATCGGAGTTTTCGATTTTCCGTGGATGAACAAGGGCGTGGGTTTTATTATGGCTGGTGAGTACTTTGAGCCCGAAGAAAAGTTTGCTCCAATTAATTTCGATGATGGAAATTTGTTTGTTGGTGATGGAAATTTGCAAGAAAATAAGGTGGATGATAATTACGAAGACGGGTTTAATTGGTCGTTGAAAGTTGATGATCTCGAATCGGTTGATAATTGCATTTGGAGTTTTGTTATCGATCAGCCTCTTTCTTAGCATTTGGTTCGAACAATTGGTGTAGAAAGCTAATTAATTATGATCAATTGAATAATCTGCTCATGATTAATATTTATTTCGTTCAATTTTTTTTTGTGTTGGAAATTACGTCGACTATCGTGTCAAAATTGGTACAACAGATTTTGCAGAGAAATATGAAACAGAAATACGTTTCTTGCTCCGATATGTAGCCGTGGAATAAAAAACCACGCAACATATTGACACGAGCACCTAATTAATTGGTTAATTTTTGAATGTTACGTTGCTTGTTACTTTCAGGACCATCTTTCCTGGTAAATTAAATTCATTACAAATTTAAAACCATGTTCGGCAACTTTCTGCTTTGGGAGTTACGTTTTGATTGTTTCGAGCACCACATGTTTCAACCTTTCAAATTTTCGACGTATTCCTTTTTTTTCGAAGTTACGAACATGTCGTGCCTAACCGCTACGTACCCATCAGATATTTCTTGGGATTATTTTTTTATTTTATTTAATTCCAAGAATTACCTTAGAATTATAAGGTGATTGATTGATATTGGATCCACTTGATTTAGCATTGCTTTCTTTGGAAGAAAAAAAAGGAATAATATATATAAATGTTGTCTGAATCTGGACATCGCTCATCTGGATCAATCATGTATATTGCATAAAATCCCACATATGGTTTGGCGTCTAAGATATGAACTCATTATTCAGTTTCTTAAATTAGATGGAGGAACTTTAAAAAAGGGTGAATCATTATTTAATAATGAATAAAAAAAAGTAAATTACGGCCATCTCCTTGAGGTATGGTCAAATTACGAAAAACCCCATTATGTTTGGATAATTACAACCACCCCAATTATGAATTGTCTTACACCTCCGTCCTTGCGGTGACAAATTTAGTAGCATCTTTTATATTATTACATGGCATATTTTCCAATTTGTACCCGTTTTACTACAAGATGATCATAACATGTATCCCTCGACTTATAAATATCATATTGTTGTGCACCACAAACTGCATCTTTGTACAAAATAAATACAAGTTAGAGAACATTTTGCCAGAATCTAGAAGATTACGATGAATTTGACATTATAATACTGAATGTGTAAGAAAATTCATACTTGAATAATTGTTGTAATTACTCAAACAAAATGAGTTAATTGCAAATACCACCCCTGTGTAATCTATAATTGCCAAATACCCCCCTGTAAAAAAAAAATTCGCGTATGCCCCCCTGTGTTAACATTTTCGAAGCAGACTGCACCGTTTTTATTTTTAGGCTTTGACTAAAGGTAAAAAGACTGAAATGTCCTTGGGCTTTTTCAACAATTAGAATAGGATAATTGATTTTAATTACACCAAATTTTATATCATAATTATGTAATATTATATAAAATAAAATTATTTTGTAATTACAAAAAGTAAAAAATATATAAACAAAGAATTAAAATATATTGTAAATTAAAAGTTTTTATATGTGTTGTAATTTTGTATTTTATATTTTATATTAAAATAATGATAATCATGAATAAAAAAATCAAAAGAAAAAAAATAAAAAAATCACGCCTCCTTCCTGCACCAGTCACCACCACAACCTTCTTCAAATTCACCACCTAAATCCGCCACCTACAACCACATAAATCCGCCACCTAAACAAACAACAAAACGAAATATACAGAGACAGCGGCGGCGTATTTATTAATCGGCGGCGGAGAGATCTCCAGTGAGGTAGGGTCGCCGATAGAGTGTCTCCACTCTCCAGTGAGGTAGGGTCGCTGCTCGGAGTAGCCTATGATGATTGGCCGGCGATGGAAGGGGGAGTGTGCTGCCATGGAGGTGACATCCATGGCAGACGCAACAAAGTTGCAGGAGTTGGGGTAAGGTGTGGCGGAGGAAATAGGCGGTGTCGAGGGAGAGGAGTTTGAAGGAGGGCTGGGCGGCGGTGATGCGAGACGGCGGCGGTGTCCAGGGAGAGAAATTTGAAGGAGTGGGTGGGTGTCGGTGGGGCCAGACGGCGGCGGTGCAGAATTTATTAGTGGCTCGGAGGTGGGCCGACGGAAATGGGGAAGAAGGTGTGAACTTTGGAAATTACAATTTGGTCCTATAAATTTAGGTTATTTATAATTAAATCAATCTGATTTTTTCTTTCTTTATGAAGGGGTATTTATGCCATTTCCTTCCAAAAAATAGCTTGAATAATCGCAAAATTGGCGAGTGAGAGACACGAGTTGCCTCCAGGGGCCTTAATGCATTGACTTTGTTAACATAGGGGGGCATGAGTGAATTGTTTTTTCACAGGGGGTTATTTGGCAATTAGAGATTTCACAAGGGTGGAATTTGCAATTAACCCCAAACAAAATAGTTTTTTTTTTCTTTTTCCGTAACTTACAACGTTCACTTGTGATATGTATTAATATGGGATGTGGGCCAAGAATAAGATGACACAAATATATGGTTGGTTGGATGAATAAATATGAATATGAAGGGACTTGTGCTCACACAACTAACTCTACTCGAAAATGGTGGATCTTTAATCCTTACATTCTTTAATAATATATACTATACTATATTCATCCGTGGTGGGTTCTTAGCAGAATTCATGTTTTTTTTCATTTAAACAGAGAAAAACAAACCTAGGTTAAAAAAAGATTGTTTTTTTAATCCTTTTCTTGATTAGAATTACAATTAGCCGTTGTTGCTTGTTTCTACTTTATTAGACTCACTGTATAACTGCTGTAGCTTCTGTTTCTTGCAACTATGATTTTCTGTCTGGGTTTTTTTCATTAATGTTTATTTTCAAGTAAAGATTTGATTTTTATATTAAAAAAAGACAATGAAAATAAAACTGAGAAAATCAGTGGTGTTCTTACTGATGGTGACTGTTCTTGCCCCTATTGGTCTCTACACAGACAACACTCTTGGATCCCATTTCACTTCTTCTTCCTGTAATGTTACTTCCTCTTGCTTTTCTTTCTTTAATCTTTCTTGATTGCGTTCCTTTATTTTATTAATTTGTCTGCTTTTGCAGCTAGGAATGAATTTCTCGAAGATGTTTCCACCTTTGTAAGTCCTTACTAAATTTTTTATTTGTTTATTTTTAATTTTCTTTTACTTGGAGTAATTCTGTGTGTGTGTGTGTTTTGTAGACATTTGCTGGTGACGTCATGCCATTAAATGTGCTGCCTCAGGTGTGTGTGTGTGTGTGTATGTGTGTGTGTGTGTGTGTGTGTGTGTATGTCTTTCTTGAATTTCAATTTCCTTGTCTGTTTTTTATTGAAAGTTTCGATCTTTTGTTGATTCATTAGCTGTAATGACTGTTGTTTTTTGTTACTGCAATAGGAGTCATCCACCACACTGAAAGAACCACCGGGCGTGGTTTTTTCTGAAAATTTGACCGAATCGACCTCAGACGACACTAGTTCTCGAATCACTAGACAACTCACTGAAGGTTTCATCTTCTTCTGCGTTGAATTATAGTTTCTGTTCTCGGGGTTACGGTTTTATTTAACAAACGACATATCTAACAGAATCAAATTCAATCGGTAGTGGCGGCAAAAACCAGTCTTTAGATGCGAATCCCATAAGACAGGTGATCGATAAGGCTGTGGCAGATAAGGGTCTTTCTCGAAAAGTGGTAAGATTGGTTTATACTTGTATTCGAGCGAAATTTTTCGTAATTTATGGTTTTAATTGTTTCTTGTAGGGACCACAAAAACTACAACGCTCTTCCCAAATCTCCGGCAAAACTAGAACCAAGAAACAGAACGAACAAACCGTACCTTCAGATGCTCGTATTTGTCAGCTCAAAGATCAACTCATTCGAGCAAAGATTTACCTTTCCCTCTTGTCAACTCGCAACAACCCTCACTTTATAAGGGAGCTGCGTTTGCGTATCAAAGAAGTTCAGCGAGCACTCGGAGATGCCACCAAAGATTCCGAACTGCCAAGAAAGTTAGTTTAATTATTTTTGTATTTTACAAGATTCCAATTTTTTATCAAAATTTAATCTTTGTTTTTTTTTCATATTTATTTCGATAATGTAGTGCTTCAGAGAGGTTCAAAGCAATGGAGCAAACACTGTTGAAGGGGAAACAAATGGACGATGATTGTTCCTCTGTGGTAAAGAAACTCCGAGCGATGCTTCATTTATCTGAAGATCAGCTACGGGCCCACAAGAAACATGCCTTGTTTTTGACGCAATTAACCGCCAAGATGATCCCTAAAGGACTTCATTGTCTCCCTCTTCGCCTTACAACGGAGTATTTCACTTTGAACTCATCTAAACGGGATTTTCTCAACAAGGAAAATGTAGACAATCCCAATCTATACCATTACGCCTTGTTTTCCGATAATGTATTGGCTGCCTCAGTTGTCGTAAACTCGACAGTAACCCACACAAAGGTGAGTTTTTTTTTCCTATTCAATATTTATCCTTCAATTTATGATATTAACTTGTTTTTGTCTCAAGCAGGATCCTTCGAAACATGTTTTCCATGTGGTAACCGACAAGCTTAATTACGCTGCAATGAAAATGTGGTTTTTGGCGAATCCACCTGGCAAAGCGACTATACACGTTCAAAATGTCGACGAGTTCACATGGCTAAATTCGAGTTACAGCCCGGTTCTTAGGCAGCTCGGTTCTGCCTCAATGATCGATTACTATTTCAAGAATCGGAGAGCTGAATCCGATTCCAACTTGAAATTCAGAAATCCAAAGTACCTATCCATAATGAACCATCTCCGTTTTTATCTTCCGGAGATTTTTCCAAATCTTGACAAGATTTTGTTTCTAGACGATGATGTCGTTGTCCAAAAAGAACTCACTGGCCTTTGGTCTCTTGATTTAAATGGCAAAGTCATTGGAGTTGTCGAAACATGCGGAGAAAGCTTTCACCGATTCGATCGGTACTTAAATTTTTCGAACCCTCTTATTTCTCGGAGTTTTAGTCCACGTGCTTGTGGCTGGGCTTTCGGAATGAATATATTCGATTTGGATCAATGGAGGAAGCAAAATATTACACAAGTGTACCATAAATGGCAGAATCTGGTAAATTCCCATTTCAAATTAACAAATTGGGATTATTTATTTATTTATTTTCTGATGATTGATGATTTTTTTTTTTTTTAATTAATTGACAGAATCATGATCGATTGTTGTGGAAATTGGGGACACTGCCACCTGGACTGATAACTTTCTGGAACCATACTTATGCTCTTGACAAAGCTTGGCATGTGTTGGGGCTTGGTTATAATCCAGGTGTAGCTCAAAGAGATATTGATCGAGCGGCGGTTATACATTACAACGGTAATTTGAAACCGTGGCTTGAGATAGGTATTCCTAAGTTTCGAAGCTATTGGGCAAAATTCGTGGATTATGATCACGTTTATTTGCGGGAATGCAATATCACTCCTTAGATTAGAGACTAACACCATTTTTTATTTTTGAGGTGATGATGAAATGCGCATGTATTTGTAAATGATTCAACGCAGAGTCGCCATGCGTCCAATGCGATTACGTTCGATCATATGACATTGATCTTTCGGACAAAAAAATGTTAAATTATTGAAACATGAGGGACTAAATCTATTTTTTTTATGAACATGGGGACTAAATATGAAATTAAGGTAAACTTGAGGAGTATCGTACAATTTATTTCTTATTTTCCAGCGATTACTTATGTTGAGTGTTTGAATAGAGATACGAAAACGCTAAAAGTTCAGTACTGTCTCGGTGTTTTTTATCGTTCGTAGTATGGTCTTGTTTGCATTTGTTACATGTAATTATTCATTTCGAGAAAACCGAAATCGTGGACAACGAAGAAAAACGCATACGAGAGAAAACATTTACATTTGTAGACAGCTCATGTTAAAATGAAAAAAAGAAAACCATGATATGTATGTATATTTGTTGTTCATATCATATTCTAGCTTCATTTTTATTGGAAGACGATTACTCGCTCACGTTCCTCGTCGTCTTCAAATAACAGTTCCACTAGGAATCAAGGCGTCCTTGATTACAGTGACGATGCCACTCTTGATGAAGTACCCGTCGGTTTCTCTTGCCGCCTCTTGCACATTGTCACTGTTAATAATCTGTAATAATAATAATTCAGCAAATGCATGTAAACAAATACTCGTAGGAAACGGATTTTTTTATTTTTTTTTTAAAAAAATTTACCTTGACATCGTCTCCAATACGGGCATTTTTGTCGATTATGGCCCGTCTGATGTGAGAATTCTTGCCAATACCAATCGGGACTCCACCTTTTGCTGCTAGGAGTTTCCTATCTGCATCGGTCTGGTGCAGAAACAATTAACGGGATTAGTACTACAACACTTTATTAATACGTAAACCGTATTAAGTTTTCGCCGCTAGAACGCATCGATCACCTCATAATAGTCGGCTCCCATCAACAAGGTGTCTTCAATAATTGCACCCTCCGATATGCATGATCGTAGACCGATTACAGAATGGTGAATCTTACAGTTCTGGAAGAAAAAAACGAAGATCAAGCATTTAAATTACTAATCACTATCGTTATCATTAATCGTCCCAATTAGGCAATAAACAATATTCACATGTACATTTGGATTAAAGAGAACTTACCTTAATGACACAACCCTCACCGATTACACTCTCAGTAATATCGGCATCGAGCATTTTGGAAGGTGGCAAATACCGCGGCTGTGTATAGATCGGTGAAGACCGGTCATAGAAACTGCATTGAATCGAACAGTCATATTTATTACATCAGTCAATTTTATTATAATTTACAATCCCTCGTACTAAACCGTCGGTCAAGGCAACTAACCTGAAATCTGGCACGGGCTTCTTTGTAATCCCTAAATTAGCGTTGTAAAATGCCTCGATAGTTCCAATGTCTTCCCAGTAACCATCATACAGATAAGCCTGGACCTGATAGACGAAGAAAAAACGAAAAAAAGAAAATTACGAATTTTCGAGTGATTTTTTTTTTGGGACTAATTTATCCAATAAGACTTGCCCTCAAACCAATCGATGTAGCACCCGGAATAACTTCACTTCCGAAATCATTAGCTCCAGGGAATTGCTCTCGAAGCAAATTCAACATTGCGTTCTTACTGAAAACGTAGATACCCATACTTGCAATGTAAGGCATTTCCTTTGCTCTCTCATCGTCAAGACCTAAAATCGTGGTGTCTACCTAAATAAATGGTATCTAAGTCGATTAGGGGTTTGCGGATAAAATTTGAGAAGCTGACAAAAGAGAGGCGATAAGTTAGTTCTCTGCAGTTTTATTACCTTCATTGCCTTGAGTTGTTCTCCCTTTGGCTTCTCTGCAAACTCGATTATCCTTCCTTCGTCGTCAATCTTCATCAGACCAAACGCAGTAGCACGTTTTTCATCCATGGGCAGTGCGGCGACTGTGATGTCAGCGTCGGTTTCTCTGTGAGCTTGGATGAATTTTTCGTAATCCATACGGTACAAATGATCTCCAGCAAGAATCAGATATTCAAGAACGTCGTGTTCTTCGAAAAGCCATAGGTACTGCCTCACCGCATCAGCTGTACCCTAAAACAAGATCCCACAAAAGAATCAGTCCGGAAACTAAATAAAGAAAAGAAAAAACCGAGAGAGTGAAACGGGATCCGATTCTTGATTTTTTGTTACCTGGAACCAGTTTGGATTTTCCGGGCTTTGCTGGGCAGCGAGAACTTCGACGAAGCCTTCGTTCTTGTAGCCGCCCATATTACTGGCGTACGCCCTTGACAAGTGGCGATTGAGTGATGCGGAATTGAATTGAGTGAGGACGTAGATTTTGGAAATGTTGCTGTTCAAACAATTACTAACGGGGATGTCAATCAAACGGTAATTTGCGCCCAAAGGTACGGCAGGTTTTGCTCGTTTCTTTGTGAGAGGGTAAAGCCGAGTCCCGGCTCCGCCTCCAAGAATGATGCCTAGTACACTCTGTGTAACGAAACATCGAACGGATCGATTCAGTTTATGATATACCATTGTTTTAGAATCCGTAAATGCACTTCTGTTTACGATGTTAATTACATTATTTAGAAATGGAAACTGAATATCGTAACCTCATTCGATTTATCCTAACATCAAAATTGACATGCTGTTTCGGCAAAATATCGAACATAATGTATACATCCAGTTACATGCCCTAACTAACCCTCCATTCATCTACAAATACCTATACTGAATAAACTACTGAGATATATATAATTGATGGAAATCGTGTCTGATAAACCCCAGTCACAATGCATATCAAGAACATTAAACCAAAATGCACATCTCTCACACACACACACACACAGAGAGAGAGAGAGAGAGAGAGAGAT